CGTGTGTGCACGTATGTGTGTGCATACGTATGTGTGTCCTTACGTGTGTGTGTGTGTGTGTGCATGGATACTCGCAAAGTGGTATCACAAAGCGCTTTGTGCAGGCTGGTCTGGCCAGAGCAGGTCAGCAGTTACCCTCCTCGTCTTGCTGGGCCATCCAAAGTGCCTCGTCTCACCCCTACTTCCTCCCCTTTCATCCCTCCGCCAACTCAAGTGCTCTTCTAAGGATGTGAAGTTAGGAGACTACAGTGGGGTTATTTTTGTTTGTTTTTGATTCTGGAGGGGCCTTCCATGAGGAAGGAAGGAAAGAGGAAGGAGGGAGGGAAGGAAGGAAGGAAGGAAGGAAGGAAGGAAGGAAGGAAGGAAGGATGGGAGGGAGGGAGGAAGGACTCAGTCTTTCATGTTGTTTCGACTCAGCTGTCTTGGACAGTTTTCTCGCATGCTGAGCTGTGAGCACATTGACTGATGAAGTCAGGGTTGGATTTAGGCACTGTGAGACAAAGGATCGTCATTCATTATCCTCTGAAAGGAAAATGTGAGTGGTTAATGCTGTAATCGAATCCCCGTGTGTCCGTTTGGCATGCAGGGGTTCTGATTTATGAAAGGACCGGAAGAAGGTCTGATCTTGAGGGCCCTGTCAGGGGCTTTGCTGACTGCAGAAAACAGTGGGGAAAAACAAACACGCCCAGTTCCTAAAAGGAAAAGCTGCTCCCAGGATGAGATCACTTGGTCTGTGCGAGCGGAGAAAGTACCTCTGACCCCAACTGACCGTCCGGGTCTTCTTACCTTGCCCGAGAATCCTGGTGTCAGAATAGTGCCGGTGTGCGTTGGTCCCAGGAGAGCTCAGTGGACAGCAGCACATGTATTGGGTGGTGGAGACTCCAGGTTTGATCCCTGGGTCTACCCGAAGTGACCCAGCTGTACCACCCTCTCTCTGGTACTTTTTTTTTATCTTTGCTTTTTTGGGGTCACACCCGGCGATGCTCGGGGTTTACTCCTGGCTCTGCACTCAGGAATTATTCCTGGCAGTGCTGGGGGGACCATATGGGATGCCGGGGATTGAACCCAGGTCGGCCGCATGCAAGGCAAACGCCCTACCCACTCTGCTATACCGCTCTGGCGCCCTCCCCCCACCCCCCCCAAACCCGAGGCACTCGGGACTTTTGATTTTTGTTTTTGGCTTTTAACAAAGCCTGGCAAGCTACCCGTGACGTATTGGATATGCCAAACACAGTAACCACAAGTCTCACAATGGAGATGTTACTGGGCACTGCTGGAGCCAATCAATGAACAATGGGAGGACAGTGCTACAGTGGCTTTTGGGTCACACCCGGCAATGCTCTGGGATTACTCCTGGCTCTGCACTCGGCAATTACTGCTGGCTGTACTCGAAGAAGGACCTTATGGGATGCTGGGGATGGAAACTTGGGTCAGCCCACTCTTAAGGCAAACGCCCTCCTCACTGTACTACCCCTCTAAGCCCCTGTTTTCTCCCTCTTAACAAGCAACTTCCATGAATCATGTTCTGGTATCTGAGCTGTCCTGGCGGGCCCAGCTCAGTGCCTGTCAGCTCTCTATCCTCACTGCTGTTTATGGGGGGGGGGGGGGGGGGGCCTTTCTGCCCAGGGGGGAGTGGGCGGGTCCCCTCCAGCCTGCAGTGTTTTGTGATGAGGTCAGGTTTCAAGCCCAGCTAAGGCCGGGTCCTTCTCACTTAGGAGGGGAAAGTTAGAGCCAGCCAGTGTGCCTGTAATTCACACTGCATTTGAGCTCATTAAAACCTTCCCCTGGTACTAATCTCGACCATTCTTGGGTGTTAGTCTCTTATTTTGTTACTTTATGTTCCCCAGATGAATGCAATCTTTCTATGTCTATCCCTCTCTTTCTGACTCATTTCGCTTAGCATGGTGCTTTCCATGTAGTACCACTTGTATGTAAATTTCATGACTTCATCTTTTCTAACAGCTACATAGTACTCCATTGTGTAATTGTACCAAAGTTTCTTTAACCAGTCATCTGTTCTCGGGCACTCAGGTTTTTTCCAGATTCTGGCTATTGTAAAGAGTGCTGCAATGAACAAACAAGTGCAGATGTCACTTCAACTATACTTTTTTGCCTCTCTGGGATACTGGTGGAGGGATGGGTATTTGATCATTGTATAATTGAAACCCAAGCACAAAAAGTTGTAAGTCTACAACTGTACCTCATGGTGTCTCCCTAATAAAAATTAAAAAATTTAAAAAAATATATATACTTTATGTTTACAGGGGCCTTTCATTTCAAAACATAAAAAAATTAAAATAAAAGTAAATTGAAAATTTCTTTGGAAAAAAAAAAAGATCATTTCAGACCATTCCCCTGTCGTGGCTGGAGCAATAGCACAGCGGGTCGGACATTTGCCTTGCACACGGCCAACCCGGGTTCGATTCCCAGCATCCCATATGGTCCCCTGAGCACCGCCAGGAGTGATTCCTGAGTGCAAAACCAGGAGTAATCCCTGAGCATTGCTGGGTGTGACCCAAAAAGAAAAAAAAAATCTCCTGTCCCGAGAGACTGAGCATCTCTGATGTGTTCTTGCAGAGGGAGGAAGACTTTCCTCTTTTCTCCGCAGAATCCGTTGCTTCCCTGCAACTTCCCTGCTCTGCCCTCTTGCTTGGTGCATCGAGGGGCTAGTGGGGGGTCTCTGAGATTTCAAGGTCAAGAAGAGAGAACAGGTGGTATCAAAGGCAGCTCACAGGGGCGACTCTGTTTCTCAGGGGCCTCGTGCATCCAGAAGGAAGGCTTCCGTCTGTGAGAGCGTTTCAGCTGTGAGGACGGGCTCTCGCTTTTCTTGGTGCACGAGCAGATGATATCTCTCACCTCCTGATCGTTTGCAGCAGGCATCAAACACGTATTTCTCGACAGCCATTGTTGTTGTTGGTGGTGGGGGGGGGGGTGTGGGATCCAGATCCTTAGGAATAAATGAAGAAATGCGTTTTCTTCAGCTTGTGGATGTCTCTGGTCTTCCTCCCCTGAGGGTCTGCTGCCTGAAGCCTGGCTGCATTCCAGATCTCTCTGGAGAGGAGAATCCTGGGCCCGTTGGCTGCAAACTCAGTTTCATGTCACCCTGTGGGTGTCCTCCCTCATAGGAGAGGCTGCTTAGGCTAATTCTTTTTTTTTTTTAAATTGTATTTCTTGGGTTTTGAGGCACACCAGTGGTGCTGGGGATTGAACCAGGGTTGGCTGCACGCAAAACAAGCACCTTAAGCTCTGCGCTAAGATTCTCCCAAACAAATCTTTTTGGATGTGCTGAATCCAGATGATTCTCTGTATCGTCTTTCCAGTGCGCAGGGGTTACTGTCGGTTTCCTTTGTGGCTGCTCATTGAATGGTTTTTATTTTATTGCATTTATTTATTTTGCCACACATGGTACTCAGGACTTACTCCTGGCTCTGTGCTCAGGAATCACTCTTAGTGGGTCTCAAGGAGACCATATGGGATGCTGGGGATCAAACCTGGCTCGGCTGCTTGCAAGGCGAGTATCTCTCTCTGGCCTCTGCTCACTGAACGTTAATTCTCTCTTCCCTGTTCTGTTTGCATGATCAAGATGATGAAATGTGGGGATGTGAGCTTTCCAAAGTTGGCTTTGGGACTGGAGAGATAATACAGCTGGAAGGGTGCTGGCCTTGCTGGGGTTCTATCCCCTCCAGCCTGATCACGATCACGACCATCCTGTTGTTCGTCGATTGCCTCGAGCAGGCACCAGTAATATCTCCTTCATCCTTGCCCTGAAATTTTTAAAAAAGTGCCATATTCTAGGCTCTTTCAGGGTTGGGAGAATGAGACCCATCATTGTTACTAGTATTTGGCATATTGGGTACACCACGGGGAGTTTGCCAGACTCTGTCACGTGGGCAGGCTACATTCGGTAGCCTGCCAGTTTGTCCAAAGTAAGAATGAGATAATCAGATATCGCGTGGCCGCATTTGCAGCCGCGCGCTTCTGGGATCTGGGTTTTAAAACCCAGCCTGATTTTTTTTGTTTTTTTTACTATTGGGGCAACGCTCAGGGGTTACTCCTGAGTGCACTCAGGAATTACTCCTGACCGTCCTCAGAGGGCCACAGAGGATGCTCGAACCCGGGTCGGCCCTGTGCAAGGTAAATTCCCTTCCCCTTTGTTCTATCGCTCTGGCCCCAGTTCCTGAGATTTTAAAATTTTTATTTACTCCTCCCCTTTCCCTTTCTTTGTTGTTGTTACAATAACATCAAAGTGTGGCAGTCATACACTTCAGTTGCAATGCTGGTCACCCCAGCATTGGTATGTGGGCTGGTGCCAGGAATCGAACTCACAGGCTCACAGCCTCAAAACTGCACTACCCCAGACCCTATAGACAGTTGGGGGAGGGTAGAGGATACTTCTCACGCAGTGCTCAGGGATAGTCCTGGCTGTGCTCAGCTGACCTGGGGGCTGGCAGGCCTACTCCAGGCTTCCGGGGAGGAACCACATGCTATTTGGGATCAAACGTACGGCCTCAGGTTTGCCAGATACACCCTGCAGCCCTTTGAGTGCTCTCTCCAGCCCAGACTTTTCACGGACTTTGGGACCCCGCCTGGCAGTGTGTGGTAGAAACCATGCGATGCTGGGGCACAAACTTGGGGTTTCCACCTGCAGAACCGGGTCTGTAGCCCTTTGAGCAATCTCCCTGGTTCCCAAAGACACACTTTAGATTTTCTTTTTAGTGGGGATTAGGGCTTACTCTTAGTTCTGTGCTCAGGGATTACTCCTGGTGGTGCTTGGGATCCATAGGGGATGCTGGGAATCAAACCTGGGTCAGCCACGTGCAAGGCAACACTATCCTCCCCGCTGTGCTATCACTCCTGCCCCAGGTTGTAGAATTTTCTGAGATGCACCCGTCATGATGTCTGGGTGCTGATGGCCCAAGCTGATCAGCTGACACTGGCCCTTCGTCTTGTCTGGGGGCAATGTGGGGCAAAGATGAAAACACTGTGGTCTTTCTTTCTAGCTTCAAGAGGCTGACATTGTGGTTTTGGGCTCGGCCAAGCCAGAAGAGGTTCCCCCGACATGGATACAACCAGGAACCATTGTTCTGAACTGTTCTCATGACTTCTTGTCAGGTAAGGGATTTTTTTGTTTGGTTGGTTATTTTGGGGGTCCTACCCAGCGATGCTCTGGGGTTACTCCTGGCTCTGCACTCAGGAATTACTCCTGGCAGTGCTCGGGGGACCATCAGGGATGCCCAGGATTGAACCCGGGTCAACTGCGTGCAAGATAAACACCCTGCCCTCTCTTACCCCACAATTAATTTTGGAAATAATCACTTTGAGATGCTATTGTACATGTTTCCACAATCCAAAACAGCACATACCCTAATTGTTTTGCAATCTAATAGAAAGAAAAAGAAGATACGTGGTATTAAGAAGCATTGCTGAAATGCAGCCTGTGAGAAATCGTGGGCCTCCCTCTGTATCATAGACTTGACTTCTTCCCGAATTGACAGATGAGCTTTCCAACCCTTTGGGAATGAAGGGGTGGTGCGGATTGGGGGTTCCAAGGCAATTTTCCAGAAGTCTTATGTTGAACTGTAGAATGCTGAGCACAGCTCCGAGTGAAGCAATTAGCAGTACAATATCATGTCAGTGGGATTAATGGCTCTTTGTAGGAAAGAGAAGTATGTGCTAAATAGCTTCTTTGAAATATATGACTTGGGCATGAATTTTGTTCTGCCTGAGAAAGCCAATGTGTGATCATAAATAGTGGACAAGACAGCTTTGCCCCTCCCTTCACCGTTCTAGTTAGATTACAAAGTCCATTATGACAATCTTTTCTTCTTAATGATTGCTGCTTGCTGTAGTTACTGACCAGGGTTTTTTTGTTTTGTTTTGTTTTGTTTTGTTTGCTTTTTTGGGTCACACCCAGCAATGCTCAGGGGTTGGTTACTCCTGGCTCTGCACTCAGGAATTACTCCTGGCAGGGGACCATATGGGATGCTGGGAATCAAACCTGGGTCAGCCGAGTGCAAGGCAAACTCCCTACCTGCTATACTATCACTCCAGCCCTATGACCAGTTGTTTTAAAGTTTATGTATATTTGGATAATTTTGACATAATCCTGCTACGCGTAAAGGCCTGAGAGTTAGCTCAAAGGACGTATTTGCACACGTATGGCCTGCACTGACCCCCAGTCTTGCATGAGCCCCTGAGAACCCCTGGGAGCAAGCCCACTCCCACCCTCCAATAAAGCCAGTCCCCAAAAGAAACAAAATATATTCTCCTGGGAACCCCCTGTGCCCATTGGGTCTAGGAATCTGATTTTTTTGTTTTTGTTTGGAGGCTACACCCAACAGTACTCAGGGTTTACTTCCTCCTGGTGGGCTCTGGGGACCATATGATGGGATGCCAGGGATCAAACCCGTATTGACCATTGGGTTATCACTATGACACCTACGTTTTTGATTTGTTTTGATTTGGGAGTGGGCCACGCCTATTAATGATCAAGACTTACCTTAAAAGTGATTTTTTTTTTTCTTTTTGGGTCATACCCGGTGATGCACAGGGGTTAATCCTGGCTCTGCACTCAGGAATCACTCCTGGCATTGCTCAGGGGACCATATGGGATGCTGGGAATCAAACCTGGGTCGGCTGCATGCAAGGCAAACGCCCTACCCGCTGTGCTATCTCTCCAGCCCCAAAAGTGATTTTTTTTAAAGGGGAAAAAAATTGTGCCTCTTTAATAGTACATATTTTTAGGAACTTAACCACCCTCCCCCCCCCCCCCTTTTTTTAATGTGTTCTGAAATTTGTTAGAATTCAAGCCCACAAAAAGAGTGATGAGGGGACAAAAAGAGTGTCTTTCTTTAAAGGTTCTTTTGCAGACAGATTATAGGTAGTTTATTTTACATATGTCTGGCCCAGTCATACAAGTTTTCTTCCAGTAATATGAGCGCCTGACACAGCATGTGCTTAGAAAATATGGGTTGAGTAAGTGAAAAATGTTGTACTCAGCGTTCAGTTCTGATTAAAGACAATTTGAAGTTAAAGTTAATTGCAGTTTAGTGTCAGATAAACAAAACAATGATTTGATTTTCTTCTTCTTTTTTTTTTAAATGGTTTTTGAGCAATATCTAATGATGCTCAAGATTTTTTTCTGTGTTGTATTCAGGGAACCACGTATGATGCCAAGAATCAAACCTGGGTCAGCTGCGTGCAAGGCAAGCGCCTGAACCCCTCCACTTCTCGTGGGCCCACTGATTTTGATATTTATACTCCTCTTAACCCTTTTTTTTTTTTTTTTTTTGCTTTTTGGGTCACACCGGCTATGCACAGGGGTTACTCCTGGCTCATGCACTCAGGAATTACTCCCGGCAGTGCTCGGGGGACCATATGGGGTGCTGGCTGGGAATCGAACCCAGGTCGGCCACGTGCAAGGCAAATGCCCTCCTCACTGTGCTATCACTCCAGCCCCTACTCCTCTTAACCCTTGACCAGCTTGGGACTTAAGGGTGCCAACTCCACCTACATCAGAAAGCTTATGTGTAAGTTTTGACTCCCCCGAATTTAATAGCCTGATGTTGGCAGCCTTACTGATACCATAAACAGGCTATTAATATTATATGCTTCCTTTGTGTTATGTTTGATACTGTTTGCTTGTACCAAACCGGAGAAAATGAAAGTGTTAAGAAAAATCCTAAGAACAAGAAAATCGACTTGCAGTCCTGAACCAGATTTATCAGTGCTGTGAATTTATGCCATCTGTTTATCGGAAGGTCCCGCCCACTTAAACCCCAGCCATCAGCCAACTGTCACTTCAGAATGATTACTGTTCTCCGCCTTCTTAGCATCCGTTCAGCTAACACACACCCGCTGGTCGTGTATTTGCGCCACTTAACGTTTTCAATCATTACCCAAAGCAAAGGGGATTTTATTGACGCTTGAGAGCAAAAGAATTTTTAATAATCTTGTGGCTCGGTGAAGGCTCCGTTTTATAATGAAATTTGTATGCTCATCCTGACGGGGGTTCCCCCTACGCCCCCTTGTAAAAACAGCTGGGATCCGGTGATGAATGATGAGATCTTTCTCCGGAGGCAGCTTACTGCGGGCCCCATCCCAGGAGGCGCTGTCCCGATGGCCGGGAGCCCGGCACAGGGCTCAGAAATAATTCCCCTGGACTTGTTGGATCTGTCCACTGGGCTGTAGCCTGAGCCTGGCGTTTAGATTTAAAACAGAAACCCGGCTGTGTTCAGTTTGCTAGTTTCAAGGAGAATTCTTTTCAGTCTTTGAGTTTGGGGCCACACCCGGCAGCGCTCTAGGCTTAACTCCTGGCTCTGAGCTCTGGAATCACCCCTGGCGGGCCTCAGGGGAGCCCTCTGCGATGCCAGGGATGAAACTCCGGGCAGCTGCATGCAAGCAAGCACCCTCCCCATTGCTGTACTGTGGCTCTGGCCTGTACTCTTAAATATGTGTGACTTTCAGGAACCTGGGAGGTAGTCTTAAAGGGCTGGAGCAAACGCTTTGTGAGCGAGAGGGAAGGGGGCTAGGGGAGGAGTTCTGGGGTACTCGGAGGCTATTACTGGCTGTGCGCTCTGTGGTACCTATGCTGTGGAGCCTTAATCCTTATTACACCGTCCCTCTCAGCCTGTAGTGCTTGCTTTATATGCTGGAGTTTCAGACTCAATTTCCCTATTGCCCATCTTAACACACACACACACACACACACACACACACACACACACACACACACACACACACAAGCACTGAGCCAGGAATAGACCCCAGAGCACAGTTAGGCCGTGTTCACTCAATTTCCCTGTTGCCCATCCTATCACACACACACACACACACACACACACACATGCATACAAGCACTGAGCCAGGAATAGACCCCAGAGCTCAGTTAGGCGTGTCCCAGAAACAAAAGGAAAATCTCTGGAATGGAAGACATTGACTCTGCTCTTATAATGCTAACAGAGCAGAACTATTTTGTGTCCCTAATTGGAGTTTATTTCCTGGTTGCTGAATAGGGCTCAGGAGAGTGGGTTCTTTGTCTCGGACTTCACACACACACACACACACACACACACACACACACACACACACACACATCAAACTGTGGAGCGATAGTACAATGGGGTTGGGCATTTGCCTTGAGTTCAGCCAATCCAAGTTATTCAATCCCTGGTATCCCATATGGTCCCCTGAGCTCTGCTAGGAGTAATTTCTGAGTGCAGAGCCAGCCCTGAACATCACCGGATGTGACCCCAAAAAGCCCCCCCCCGAAAAAAAAACAAGGAAATAAAACAAATTGTGGACTTTTCCTGGGGCGACATTTGGTGATGCTTAGGCATCGCTCCTGGCAGGCTCAGGGGACCATTTGGGATGCTAGGAATTGAACCCGGGTCAGCCGCATGTAAGGCAAACATTCTACCCACTGTGCTATCTCTCCGGCCCCTACAGACTTATTAACAGAACCGATGTCTGTCCTGGAAAAATCACTACCAAGGATGAAAGCCTAGTGAGAGTCTGGTAGGAAGGCAACTTTAGAGAAATTCAGGTGGAATGGAATTCTTTTACCTGTGTACTTGTGGTAAAATGAGCACATTTGCTTATGATTTTCCTTGTTCCCCCCCACCCCCACCCCAGGAAATTCTATATGTTTTGCACCCATCTCCGTGATTTCAAAAGAACTCCTTATATAAGCCGAAACTCATATTTTAGTGATATTTCTCCCTTTGAAGCTTCTTACATTGTATTATTTTAAGAACTCGCAATATACTGTCATTTGGTAATGGACTGCAGATGTTTAAGATACAATGAAGCCCTGAGTATTTTCCTATAAATTATACTAGAAGGTGATTGCTTTTTAAGGGACAAGGTTAATGTAGTTAAATAGTGAGCACCAGAGTTTGGGGGAAGTTTTGCCATACCAATTTATAATTTTTGAACTCTTCTATTTTCATAACTTCACGAACTTTTTTCTTTCTTTCTTTTTTTTTTGCAGTAACTTGTAGAGGGGAGACAGTATCCAAGCCCTCAGTCTCTGGGTTCATGCAGCATGTTTGTGATAAGAAGGGGCCCCCAGCCAGATCATACTCAAGCTGGCCTAGTTCCAGACAGCAGAGATGGCAGGGGGCGGGTGGGACCCTCCATTTTTCCCCCCTTGCCTCCCCTCTACTCTCCTCCCTATTTCTTTCATGCTGGCAGAATTCCCGGGGTGGTCTCCGACCAGCTCCTGTGAAAGAGAGACCATCCAGATTTCCAGGGAGAGTGTGTGAATGCATCAGCCGTAGAAAGTTTGTTCATTGTAAGAGTCGTTGGGGAAAGTCCATCTTTCATGGGGATTCATTGCTTTGTCCCCTGGGGACCATGAGCTCATAGGATTGTGGGTGGACGTGAAAAGGCTCCTATGGTTTGGGCCCGGGGCCCTGCTATACTTGCTGGCCCGGTGTAGACAGCAAGGGCTGAGCTGGTGAAGTAATCGCCTCCTTGGAGATTCTCCTCATCCATGGATTACGAGACTGTATTTCTGGTTTGTCATGTTGCCATTCTTCATCCTCCCAATCCTCCAGGGTGTGAGCTTGTGACATTGCTGTAAGATTATAATGATTCCTATGACAAAAGGCAGTCACCGCTGAGATGCAGAATGATAAACAACAGTGACTTCCGATCCAGTTACCTCAAAAGAACTAGGCCCTGGTTAAAAGGCCAGTGAAGTTAATTGTATTAGGAAGATGAGAGCAGGCAGAAATGCAAGTAGGGTATTAAAAACATCACTGAGAGTCACATACCATTGCTTCAAAAAAGAAAGGTTTGGGTTCGGCTAAGATTCTGCTTGAGTTTGTAATACAATATGTGTGTACTTTGCCTCTCTTATCTTCAGATCTTTGTTGATTTTTTTTTCCTCTTTGGCTCTGCACTCAGGAATTACTCCTGGCGGTGCTCAGGGGACCATATGGGATGCTGGGAATCGAACCCCGGGTTGGCCACGTACAAGGCAAATGCCCTACGTACTGTACTGTCACTCGAACACCTCTTTGTTGATTTTAACCTTATTCTCTTGTTCACAAGGCAGTCGCCAGAATGATAGGAGGGTTGATTTTTCTAGATAACTGTAGGTGAAATATTCTTTATTTGTGTGGCTATCTGTGATTCTGTTCTGGAAACATTATACGTGAAAACTATTTCCTGGAATGTAGCCTTTTCATTTTTCTTTATTACTTAAACAGAGCGATAGGATAAGAAACACATTTCTTTTTATTTTTTATTTTTTTGGTTTTTGGGTCACACCTGGTGATGCACAGGGGTTACTCCTGGCTCTGCACTCAGGAATTACTCCTGGCAGTGTTTGGGGGACCATATGGGATGCTGGGAATCGAACCCAGGTCGGCCATGTGCAAGGCAAACACCCTACCCGCTGTGCTATTGCTCCAGCCCAGATTTCTACCTTCTTGATCTTACAGAGATAGGTTTTGTGACCCAACATGTGGGAGGGGAATGTTTACTCAGTTTTGGAGGGGGTGGACGGACATTACCTCTGTCTGGTAAGCCCACCCTCCCATTTCCCTTAGTAACTAGTTTCTGGGCAGACCGATAGCGCAGCAGGTAGGGCGTTTGCCTTGCACGAGGCCGACCCAGGTTCGATTCCTCCATCTCTCTCAGACAACCCGGCAAACTACCAAGAGCATCCCGCCCGCATGGCAGAGCCTGGCAAGCTCCCCGTGGCATATTCGATATTTCAAAAACAGTAGCAACAAGTCTCACAATAGAGACGTTACTGGTGCCTGTTCGAGCAAATCGATGAACAACGGGAGGACAGTGCTACAGTGCCTATTTCCCTTCAACGCCAATGTTTCCTGGTTGAGTTTTTGCCTACTTGATCTTTCCAATAGTGACAGGCAGGTGACAGAATAGATGACTTATTCATAGTGGCTGGACAGCATCTTTGCATGAGATCTCTCGGGAGTCAAAGAAAACAGAACAGATCTCATTCTCTTGACTCTTGGCTTTTGCCCAGATATGATTTATGAAACTGAAGTGTTGCTAATCTTTAAACAATACCCAAAGGGTGTGATTTTTTTTCTAGCTCATTTAACCAGAGAACATCACAAGGCACTTTAGAGTGAGTGTTTTGTGCTCCTTTTGCCAAAGGATTGGCAATGAAACAGATAATTTGAAAGCAGAGTGATCCAAAGAAGTACTGCCTTTAGAAATGTTGGCTTTATTTTTCCCTTCTAGGGGAAGGTGTGTGCAAACAACAACAAAACATTCTACATATATCCTTTGTGTAAACATTCTGTATGCCAATGGCAAAGAAAAAGGCAGCATTCTTACAGATGCCTCTTTTGTAAAGAAGTTCAGCCCGAAAATTAGCATCCTAAAATGTGACTTCCCTGTTTTGTTTGTTTTTTTCTTTTTTGGGTCACACCTGGAGATGCTCTGGGGTTCCTTCTGGCTCTACACTCAGAAATTACTCATGGCGGTGCTCCGGGGACCATATGGGTTGCCGGTGATTGAACCTGGGTTGGTTGCATGCAAGGCAAACACCCTACCTGCTGTACTATCGCTCCATCTGTGATTTCCCTGTTTTGATAGAAATTGGTTCTGATAATTTTATGTAGGTTTTTTGGGGGCATTTTTGGTTTTGTTTTTGGAGGGTGGTGGTGGCAGTGGGCCACACCTGGCAGCACCCAGAAGTCTCTCCTGGTGGTATCTGGGATTGTGCCCATGGAGTCCCACGTCCTTGCCTTGCAACCCTTCAGTTCTCTCCAGCCATCTCCCTGCTCCTACCTGGATAGGGATTCTATAAATGATCCAGTAGCCCAATCTTCAACATTATGCACCAACTGGGCTTATGTCATAAGCTCTCTCCCCTTTCTGGCACCTTTACAAATGCGGCATCATACATGGTGTTTTGTTTTGTTTTTGTTTTGTTTTGTTTTGTTTGTTTGGGTCCTACCCAGCAATGCACAGGGGTTACTCCTGGCTCATACACTCAGGAATCACTCGTGGCGGTGCTCAGGGGACCATATTGGATGCTGGGAATCGAACCTGGGTCGGCCGTGTGCAAGGCAAACACCCTACCCGCCGTGCTATTGCTCCAGTCCCTGTTGTTTTAGTTCCTATTTCCCATGTTTGTCTCTTCTCTTAGCTTGGAGCCACAGCCAAGTGGTGCTCAGGGCTCGCTCCTAGAGGTGCTCGGGCTCCTGAGCACCCCACTGGACTCTCCCCAGGCCTGCCTGCCACCTTTGTTTAAATTCCTAACCTGTAGCTTTGTACCTTCCCTAGCATGCCGCATCGAACCCTCCCTGAGGGTCCAGAAGGGTGGCAGGGAGGACCCCAGAGACCCCGTTTCTGATGGAAAGTGGTGTCAGGTCTGGGCACTGGGGGGGAGAGACCTGCAGCCTCCTTGGAGTTCACCACGTCCATCTTTTTCCCATTTCCCCCTCCTCACCTGTCCTCCAGGGAAGCTGGGCTGTGGCACTCCTGGGGTGAATTTCAGTGGTCTCTTCGCCGAGGATGACGTGAGTCTGCTCGCGGCCGCGCTGAGGATCCAGGTGAGTCTGAGAGAGCTTTTGGGTGGGCCCTGACATGTGGGTGGGGGGAAACGCTTGGTGGAGGGGATAACACTTAATTCTCATAGCCGGGCCCAGCCACTCTGGGTGGAAACTTGGAGAACTGGAGTGACTGAGCCCTGGGCCACGGGCATATGCCAGGTGGGGAGACAGGGACGCGGAGAAAAGCTTAGTTCCTGCCACCGTTACTCCCCCACACCTGGCAACGTCAAACAGTGTTTGTTAATATGCGGCCCACCTGCCTAGGGTCAGAGGTCCGTCGGCCCCTGACCTGGGTTTGTCCCAACTCAAGGTCTCCTGGGATCAGAAGCAAGCCATCACCTGGGGCCGGAATGATAACAGAGCAGGGAGGGCCTTTGCTTGGCATGTGGCCGACCCTGGTTAAATCCCTGGTGACCCAGGTTCAATCTCTGGGGTGTCATGTGGTCCCCTGAGTATCCCCCAGGAGGATTTCCTGAGTGAAGAACCAGGAGGAACCCCTGAGCATCGCTGGGTGTGGCCCCCAAACAAACAAGGGGCTGGTGCGATAGTACAGCAGGTAGTGCATTTGCCTTGCACGTGGTCAACCCGGGTTCGATCCCCAGCATCCCATATGATCCCCTAAGCACCACTAGGAGTAATTCCTGAGTGCAGAGTCAGGAGTAACCCCTGAGCATCGCTGGGTATGACCCAAATACCAAAACAAAACCCCATAAAAATCAGGACATCGACCAGGACTGCTGTTCGCTGAAGGTTGGCCCCAGGTAGAGGCTGTATTTTCCATGATGGTGGCGATGCTATGGCTACAGGTATTATATTTCTCCATGGCTGCTGGCAGGTGTCTTTGAGGCCTGGCCCACAAGTACTGGCAGTGTGTCAGTGCCCTAGAAATAGCCATCCAAAGGGCAGAGCAAGGAGGAAATGGCAGCCCTTCTAGAACACAACTGGGCTCCTTCCCCCCCCACCCTTTTTTTCCGTCTTTGCTCCAAGAGAGATTTTTGCTCTTTCCTCCAAATCTTGTTCACACTCACACAGGCGGGGAAGGGCCAGGGGAGCTTTGTTGAATTGGATGAAAATCCGGTGAGGGCCATTTAGATAGCCCAGTGGGTAGGGCCCTTGCCTGAGCACATGCCCCCTCCCCCCTCCCCCCAGCCTCCAGCTGCCTCCCATATGGTCTCCGAGCAAAGAGCCAGGAGTAAGCCCCACACCCTGCTAGGTGTGGCCCCCTAAAACAAAGGCAAAGGAAGAAGACCTGCCGAGTTCCTGCACTCCCTGGGGGTCTGTGAGCACCGCTGTCCTCTCTCCCCGGCCTTCCCCTCGTGAGTCAGCGTTTCATCCCCCCATGCTCCCCTCTCTGTCTCTGCAGAACATGGTGAGCAGTGGTCGGCGGTGGCTCCGTGAGCAGCAACATTCCCGCTGGCGGCTCCACTGCCTGAAGCTGCAGCCTCTGTCCCCCGTGCCCAGGTGAGGGGGCTGGTCTGCTTGCGGCACGTGTTGGGCTCCGGACTTAAATAGCTCCTCCGGGTGGGGTTGATGGGGAATGTATGGACGAGTCTCTGATGGAATACTATGCAATGGTTAAGAAAGATGAAGTCATGAAATTTGCTTATAAGTGGGTGGACATGGAGAGTGTCCTGCTAAGTGAAATGAGCCAGAAGGAGAGGGACAGACAGAAGGACACCACTCATTTGTGGGATATAAAAGAATATAATAGGAGACTGACACCCAAGGACAGTAAGACACATGGGCCAGGAAGATTGCCCTAGAGTTGGAAGACTGTCCCATGAGCTGGGGGAGAAGGCATCTGGGATAGAGAAGGGATCACTGAGACAATGATGGTTGGAGAGATCGATCGGGATGGGAGACGTGTGCTGAAAGTAGATAAAGGACCAAACGCAACAGCTTCTCAGTATCTATAGTGCCAACCATAATGCCCAAAAGTAGAGAGCGAGCAAGGGGGAAATTGTCTGCCATAGAAGCAGGGGGACAATTGGGATGGGGGGGTTATATACTGGGGACATTGGTGGTGGAGGAATGGGTGTTTGATCATTGTGTGACTGAAACTCCAACATGAAAGTTTTGTAACTGTATCACGCTGAGTCAATTAAAAAAAAATTGCTCTGTTAGGGGACAGGAGACATGCTGCAGGTGGGGAGGCGCGTGCCTTACACACAGTCTTCCCCGGGTTCGATCCCTGGCATAGTCTCTATATACGGTCCCTGAGCACCGCCAGTTCTGACTCCGGAGCACGGAGCCAGGAGCAAATCCCATCTGGACTGCTGGGTGTGGCCCCAACCTAAGCCAGAACAACCACATTCCTCTATTTTTTTTTTTTTACCCTGTCTTGAAAAATCTTCAAAATTAAATAGCAGTGAACACACTTGCTTTATTCCGGTTACACCACTATCCAGTTTGGTTTTTTTCATTGCTAAAGTTAGGATGCATCTTCTATCCATGACGTCATATCCTTGAAATTGCCCTAAAACTGGAATGTCTTCAGTTTGACAGAATATAATTCTGCATTTTTTTTTTTTTTTTTTTTTGCTTTTTGGGTCACACCTGGCAATGCACAGGGTTTACTCCTGGCTCTCGCTCTGCATTCAGAGATTATTCCTGGTGGTTACTCTTGGGATGCTGGGGATCAAAACCTGGTCGGCCGCATGCAAGGCAAACACCCTACTTGCTGTCATATTGTTCCAGCCCCTAATTCTGCAATATTTTGTGGGTTTTGGGGATTTTTTTTTTTTTTTTTTTTTTTTTTTTTTGTGGATGTTGGGCACCCAATAGCCCAGGGCTGATCCTGGCTCTGCACTCAGAAGTTACTCCTGGCAATGCTCCAGAGACCATGTGGGACGCTCCGGATTGAACAGGTTGGCTGTGTGCAAGGCAGTCGCCCTACCCACTATGCTATCTTTTTGGCCCCTAGGTCTACAGTACTTTAAACAGGCTTTTCAGTGTTCACTTGTGTACGCCTGCTCTCAAGCAGCATGGAGCTTCCACGCTGGGGATAAATGACTAACCGAAGCCCACAGCATGTCACGGGGGACCCCTCCAGGCTTTGTTCAGAGCTTAGCACGGACTCCCCTGGCTGTACGCTATGGGATGGTCCAGCTGGCCAGTTTCTTCCAAGAGTCTTTAATGACGTGTGAGCTACATATTCTCTCTGTGTAGATTTGGAAATGCAGCCGGCACCACATTGTCTCACTCTCGTTTGGAATAATTGGATCAAACAGCTGAGCCTGGGAAATAAATGGCTTGGCAGCCCCCAAGGGGTCCGCCCTTCTCATCCTCCCAGAACCTGCCTTGCCTTTCATCTTCAAGTGCCCCGAGCCCAATCCCCCAACGTCCGGCTGCCAGTGTTGAAGGGATGTAGTGTCGCTGATAGAGCCTCCATCATTGACTAACTTATTCCACCAAATACCAGCAACTCTTTATAGTTTGTTTGTTTTGTTTTGTTTTGTTTTTATTTTTTGTTATTCTTTAAATTTTTATAGAGTTGTTCACAATAATTTATTACATTCAGTCTTCCAGCACCAGTCTCACCACCATGACACACACCTTCCCACCACCATTGTTTCAAATTTTCCCACCACCACCCAAGCCTGCCCCAAAGGCATTTCCTAAATAATTTATTTTGTATTGCTTGTTATGAATAGTCCGCTAAAAATAATCCAAAAAAGTTTCCTTAGAGGAAAGTGTATGAACACTGTTATATCTCACCCTGGAGAAGACATTAAGCCCTTGTATAAGAGATTGCTAACATGTTGTCACAGGTTGGGCCCTGTGTGCTAATATATTTTTTTTTGGTTGAGAGAGGTTGCGTTCTATTTTACACGCCATCCAATGTTGTATGCTGCTCCTGGTACATCAGTGACTCAAAGACTGAGATGTCACTCCAGGAATTCTGACATTTTAAATAGGGAGATAGAACTGTAGTTACAGTTTTAACTGGATGGTGACGTTGGGTTCTAGAGGCATCTCCTCTGAGATTTATTTGGAGTCTCTGGGTCGTGCAGTTAATGAGTTTCTATGGTGCCAGAGGCAGTTCGTAGGTATGACTGCCAGGCTCCCAGAAGCACAGGAGATGGGGGGAGGTTGCCCATTCCCAACTCCATGAGAGCCTGGAGATTTCCAGATACCAGCAATTCTTTAGAACGGATCCCAGTTCCCAGGGAAGCCCACTGGGCTCATGGTCCAATTACAGACCATATGGGACGCTCCAGATCGAACGAACAGGTTGGGTGCATGCAAGGCAGGCGCCCTACCCACTGTGCTCTCTTTCAGGTGCCTAGTTCTACAATGGGGCTGGAGCGATAGCACAGCGGTAGGGCATTTGCCTTACACGCGGCCAACATGGCCGACCCGAGTTCGATTCCTCCGCCCCTTTCGGAGAGCCCGGCAAGCTACCGAGAGTATCTCCCCCACATGGCAAAGCCTGGCAAGCTACCTGTGATGTACTGATATGCCAAACACAGTAACAACAAAGTCTCCAATGGAGACGTTACTGGGCCCACTCGAGCAAATCGATGTACAGTGACAGTGACAGTTCTACAATATTTTAAACAAGTGTTTAGTGTTCAGATGCCCAGCACTTGCGTCAGCCTGCTCTGACGAGCCATCAAGCCCTTCAAGACCCCATTTTCACCCCAAAACATACTACACGCATGTTACTCGCCGCTGGTGTTCATTCTTGCTTCACTTCTGATGAATGCTGCCCATTCCATTGTCATTCCTGCTCTGCACAGTCCATTTTTATAAAAAGAAGAAAAAATAGACTTGGTTTTTTTTTTAATATCGATTTTAATTGTGAAAGGTTGGGCTTTTTTTTTTTTTTTTTTAATTTGGGACACACACTGCTATGCTTTGGGCTGATTCCTAGTAAGGGGTAGTAGGGGGCGGGGCAGGGATCATGCCCGGGTCAGCCACAAGCAAGGCTGGTGCCTTACCCATTGTGCCGTTCCACTCTCTGGCCTGTTAATTTTTATTTTTAGGTGTTTTGTTTTTTTTTTTAAGCAGAGGACTATCTTCTTCTTATTGGGAGAAAAAAAACCCAGATAGTTGTGGATGCCATGAAATTGTGTGCCACTCTATATATCTTAAAATAAACCCTTCTGGCAGGGAGAATCTGCTTTTATGGCTTAATCACATTTGACTCCCCGCGCCACTGGGGAGAAGAGAGAGAGAGAGAGAGAGAGAGAGAGAGAGAGAGAGAGAGAGAGAGAGCAGCTGAGTCATTAGCAGGTCCTTAAGGAAGCAGAAGGAGGGCACAGCCACTCTGGCAAGCCCTGGCATCTTTCCAACCTTGCATTTAGGGCCTTGTTGAGGGAGAGAAAAGCTTTCTGGCCAGGAGGACGGAATGAAAGCATGCCTGGGTGGGGAGGGGACATTGCGAGCAATGGGAAAGAAAAGGCAGAATGAGCTGGTGGGAAGCCCAGAACTCGGCCCTTGGGAGAGTGGGGAAGGGAGTCGGTTTGCTATTTCCAGGGGTCCTGGAGATGATGCGGACCTTTGAGGCCTGGTGATGAGCAGAAACAATAGCAGACCAGAAGTAGGGCTATGCCCTGTGTGCCCTCCCCCCCCCCCCCGTGCCCCATCCCAGCACATCAGGCCACAGCTGTCTGCTCACCGGTCAGGCCCCAGGGACCTGAGACCTCTCGCTGTCCCAGCACTGGGGGCTGCAGGCAGCAGGTCCCTGCTGGTTTCCCTGGTGTACATCATGGTTCCACAGTATGTGCCCAGCAACGCTCTCTCATTCCTGAAACTATCTCTTGGATCTGCAGTGGTTCTTCTGGCGCTGGGTCTGTTGCCTGACGTTTTGGATGTGAACTAGGAAAGTGATGGGAGAAAAGTGGACCTAGATCAAAGGAAATAGCATTTCCACATCTTTGAGTAGCGCAGTGGAAGGAGGCAGAGGGTAGGAAGCCATCCCCCAGTGCTCAGTAAGCTAATGGAACCAGGAATCCCAATGACATTTGCTTCTTTTTGTTTGTTTGTTTGAGGCCTCCACTCAGTCTTGCTCAGGGTTTACTCCTGGCCCTGCACTCAGGAATCACTCCTGGAGATGCTTGAGTGGTGACCACATGGGATGCTGGGGATCGAACCCGGGTCGGCCATATGGGAGGCACGTGCCTTTGCAGTTTGTTGTTGGATGGATTTCTGCTCCACACTGAAAGTTTTTCAGTTAGAACATGGGCACTAATCCTTGTGCCTGGGCAGAATCCTAGCACTTCCCTGGGTGGTTTTTTGTTTGTTTTGTTTTGTTTTTAAAGAGTTACTTTTCGAAAGAAATGTCCCATTTTCTCGTGAACGTTAATTGTTAGCAGTTGGGTTCGATGTTGCGTGGGATCCAGGACCTTGGAGCCATCGCGTTGATTTAATTGCTGGCGGGGTGGCTGGCTGATTTTCACGCCAGCAGAGACCACCGAAGCTGAGGCGTTTCTTGTCTCTTCTGTGCTTCTCCCCCAGTGATATCGAGATTTCCAGAGCACAGACCCCCAAAGCTGTGGATGTCCTTGCCAAGGAAATAGGATTGCTAGCAGATGAGATCGAAATCTACGGCAAGAGCAAAGCCAAAGTTCGTTTGTCCCTGCTGGAGAGGTTAAAGGATCAAGCAGATGGAAAATATGTCATCGTTGCTGGGTAAGACTCTTTATAAAATCATTTTCCAAAGACGTTTTCTAACACGGCCCTGTTTCCGTCGTCCGCCTTTGCGAGTCCGTCGTGTTTTTCTAATGGAACAGTTTTGGGATCATTTTGTTTAGCCTTCTCGTCTTTAATGGGACGTAGTTCTTTTCCGTCTGTTATTGTTTGTGTTTTGTTTTCACTTTCAGTGTCCAAGAGTTTCCATGGAATATTAACTATACTAAATTGCTGATCCAACCTGGAAGTTTTCATTTCTTGGAGTATGGGAATTTTGATGTTGTGAGTTTATTTTGGTTCCACACCCAGCGATGCTCAGGTTTTACTCCTGGCTCTGTGCTTAGAAATTACCCCTGACAGTGCTCATGGGGACCGTATGGGATGTTGGGGATTACACTGCAAGGCCAGGTCAGCGCCCTTCTCCCTGTACTATTGTTCAGGCCCCGCCCCACAGTCTCTGTTTGAACTGGTTCTCATCAGTGAGCACTTAAATGTGGCTTTTCCCTCTGGGCTCTTATAAACAGTGCTGAAACAGACAGCTGCTAGCTTTTCTCCTGATGTTGCCTAGAGGTGAGTCCAGTGACTTAAAGCTGCAAACACGGGGGCTAGAACAATAGCACAGTGGGTAGGGCATTTGCCTTGCACGCGGCCGACCCGGGTTCGATTCCCAGCATCCCATATGGTCCCCTGAGCACCGCCAGGGGTAATTCCTGAGCGCAGAGCCAGGAGTAGCCCCTGTGCATCACCGGGTGTGACCCAAAAAGCAAAAATAAATAAAATAAAATAAAATAAAATAAAGCTGCAAACAAAACAGCTGAAGCTAGGTAACCATAACGATTCATTCCCTTTTGTGGTGTAATCATGTGTTCACATGCTCCCCTCCTCTCCCAGCCTGCCCCCTTCCTCCCCTTCCTGGGTGACTTTGTTTCCTCTAAGGCAGGTGGACAGGGCAGGCACATCCCACCCCCTCTGTTTTTTTTTATTTTTTATTTTTTATTCATTTTTTTTTCTTTTTGGTCACACCTGGTGATGCTCAGGGGCTACTCCTGGCTCTGCACTCAGGAATTACTCCCGGTGCTCAGGGGACCTTATGGGATGCTGGGAATCGAACCGTGGTCGGCCGCATGCAAGGCAAACACCCTACCTACTGTGCTATTGCCCCAGCCCCTTGTTTTTTTCTCTTTGGTTTTGTCTATGTCCCATGGTGCTCAAGGTTTACTCCTGGCTCTGTGCTTAGGGACCTTTTTATGTACTTCTGGGGGTTCATTTTGGGGGCGGGGTTAGCCACATGCAAAGCACACAGGTGGTCCTTGACATTCTTCTGCTTCCCTCTGCCTGGTTTGTTTGTTTGTTTGTTTCTTTTTCAAATTTATGTTTGTAGTCCTCCACCTCTCGGAGAGCCCGGCAAGCTACCGAGAATACCTCGCCCGCACGGCAAAGCCTGGCAAGCTACCCGTGATGTATTCAATATGCCAAGTACAGTGACAACAAGTCTCACAATGGGGACGTTACTGGGCCTGCTTGAGCAAATAGATGAACAATGGGAGGACAGTGCAGTGCAGTGCTATGTTTGTAGTTCTTTATTCTTTTTATTTTTTAATTTTTGTTGCTTTTTGGATCACACCTAGCAATGCACAGGGGTTGCTCCTGGCTCTGCACTCAGGAGTCCTGGCGGTGCTCAGGGGACCATATGGGATGCTAGGAATTGAACCCAGGTCGGCCACGTGCAAGGCAAACGCCCTACCTGCTGTGCTATCTCTCCAGCCCCAGTTCTTTATTCTTTTTATTGGCGGGGGGTAATGGGTTTCACATTCATTGGGTGCTCAGGGCTTATTCCTGACTCTGTGCGCAGGGATCATTCCTGGCAGTACTCAGGGGCTCATATGACATAGCAGGGGTGAACGCCTGGGTGGCCACATGCAAGGCCAGCACCCTCCTCGCTTTGGTCTTAAGGTACCCATACCTGGCCGCCTTGTACGACAAGACTTGTGTAAACAGAAAAAGACTGCAGCTGTCTATCTCTTCCGCCACCCATGTTCGGTAGTCTCAGGCCGATTCTCCCACCCTGGGGAAGTCGATTGCGATGGGCAGGCAAAGGAACGAGGGCCAGGCTGGTTGGTCTCAATTGCTGTTTATTCCAATCTCCTTCTCAGTCACTTCTCCTTCTCCTCCTGCTTCTTCCTCCCCCATGCTACTTCATTCTCTTCCTCGATCCCCCTTCATTCTCCTTCTGTCTCTGGAATCTGGATTCCCCCAGCCCACTCTTACAGTCTAGTTTAATCCCCCAGCATGAGGGGTTGGGGGAACAATTACACATAGGTATCATCATCCCTATGTGTAAGCGGATGTAAGGTCCTTCCCTCAGGGGAAGCTACTTTTTTTTGGGGGGGGGGAGGGGGGTTTATTTATTTATTTTTTAAATTTTTTTATTTTTAAAATTTTTATTAGTGAGACACCATGAGGTACAGTTGTAGACTTACAAATTTTGAGCTTAGGTTTCAATTATACAATGATCAAGTACCCATCCCTCTACCAGCGCCCATCCTCCACCACCACGGGTCCCAGCATCCCTCCCACCCCCCATCCCCCCCATCCCACCTTGCCTTTGTGGTAGGGCGTTCCCTTTTGTTCTCTCTCTCTCCTTTTGGGTCCTGTGGTTTGCAAGAGAGGCATTGAGTGGCAATCATGTTTGGTCTATAGTCTACTTTCAGCATGCTTCTCCCATCCTGGGAGGATCCTCCCAACACCCTCTATTTGGTGCTCCCTTCTCTATCTGAGCTCCCTTTTCCCCTAGCATGTGTGGCTGGCCTCTAAGCCATGGAGCAAAATCCCTGGTACTAATCTCGGCCACTCTTGGGTGTTATCTCCTATTTTGTTACTTTATGAGGAGAAGCTACTTCTAGGACTGATTCTTATCCAGCAAGACGACTGCCCTAAAGGCAAATATGGGTGTGTTCTCCTCTCCTTGTCCAATAAACATATGAATATTCATAGTATTAATCATTTTGTATGGACACAGTAAGAGATACATTAAGCTTATAGAATTGCTTTCCTGGGTCATCTCGATCTCAGACTACAGTGCTCAGGCCATATTAGTCTTTTCTATTTCTTAGCAGGGTCCTAGTCTCGTCGTTACTTTTGGATCATGACATCATTTGTCTATGATCAAACTCCTAACTTATAGTTAAGAATCGTGGCATTTTGGCCTGGCCCATTTCGATGCCAGGGTAGCTCATCACTTGCCCTGGGTCCATTCAGTCCCTCGTTGGGACCCTGCTTTTGGGGTATTAAGAACTAAGGGCAACTGAGGCTTAAGTCGAGAAAGCAGATGCCCGGGAGTGAATAATATTCAAAACCAATTAAATCCTAAGTTATGAAGCATAATATTAACTGTCTTCCTCTATTTATACTAAAAGGACATTACATTAAAGCAAACTATTCATAAGACATAAGGAGAGGAGAAAGACAATATTTTACTCACAGTCAGAATTCAGTCCCGAGCGCAACCCAGATATGGGCCTCCATCGCCACCCCCCAAGAAAAAAAGAAATATGAGTGGGCTCTTCATTAAGTGGAGAATTATTTCTTTTTTTCTGAAAAATTACTTTATTCTAAAAGTAATGCCAAATTATGTTACGGAAATTTAAGATGAAAAATGGAATTCTGGCCAAAATGAGATATCTCATGACTTAGAAATGTTTTCATTATTATAAATGTTTTCAATATTTCATTCAGATTCTAGGTATGGATCTATCTCCTGTTCTTGTACCTTCACCCTTCACATGCTATACAGTACTATTTTTTTGTTCTGCTCTTTTCTTTTTTTTTTTTTTTCCCTTTTTGGGTCACATCTGGCGATGCACAGGGGTTTCTCCTGGCTCTGCACTCAGGAATCACTCCTGGCGGTGCTCAGGGGACCATATGGGATGCTGGAGATTGAACCTAGGTTGGCCGCCTGCAAAGCAAACGCCCTACCCACTGTGCTACCGCTCCAGTCCCTGTTCTGCCCTTTCTCTGAATATTCTAACACCTCTTTCCCCATGTTTTAGAAGAATTCAAATATCCAAGTAATTTTTTCAACAAACAATCTATTATTGTCTCTTTGAATTTATGTATAAATGTGACTTAAATGTATCAGCAATGGGATTAAAATACAAAGCAGTGGGATTTTAAAAAAAATCTTCTACTATTAATAACTCAAATGAAGACCAGATTAACTCGTTTGAAACAGCAATTCCTCAAACTTTAGAATTTCTTATTCTGTCAGGATCATCTGTATTTCATCAGCTACACATCGAATGGTATTTACACCTCCGTATCACTTTATTTGCTTTGCCTGACAAAATGAAAAGTATTGGGAATTGTTCAGGGAAATAAGCCAAAGAATCTTAAGGGCTCTTGAGTCTTACATATTTTCCCAGTTACACTAATGAAAAGGAATTTGTTTGAGAACTTGCCTCAGAGTGCAGCTGTAGGGCACCGAACGTGTGCAAGGGGCTCCAAATACCCCTTCTTGATTCTCTGTAGAAGTTTCTAGAACATGAATGGGTCAGACAGAATCATTAAGAGAGGGGCACAAAGTTGTTGGTAAACAGACTGGATTTCATATCCAAGAAAAAATTTAAATCACAGCGATTCAGTATTTTCCCCCGAGGAGTGTCAAATGTGTGATTTGGTGTGTCTGTGATTCAGCTCATGATTTTGGTTCCTTTCAGACCTAGCTTACATGTCGGCTTTTCTGCCTAGGGCAGCTATTTAGATATCTGCCTTTCCCTTTAATTGGCACTGTTTGGAGTATAGAAGGAACCGTTCCTGGCAGTTTGTTTGAACTCTTTATCTCATCCCATGTAATGCAAAACCCAGCCGAAATGACAGTTGAGTTTGTCATTGGATAATGATTTGTTTTGTTTGGGGGTCACGCCCAGCAGTGCTCAGGGCTTACTCTTGGCTCTTCGCTCAGGAATCACTCCTGATGGTGTGCTCAGGGGACCATATGCGATGCCAAGGATCTAACTCATGCCAGGCAGATGCCCTACCCACTGTACTATCTCTCTCGCTCCTTATCATTGGATAACAAAAGGCTTTTAAAAAAGTCATCCAAGGGCTGGAGCGATAGCACAGGAGATAGGGCGTCTGTTGATTACCAGCATATCCCATATGGTCCTCTGAGCCCCACGAGGAGTAGTTTCTGAGTGCATGAGCCAGGAGTAACCCCTGTGCATCGCCATGTGTGACCCAAAAAGCAAAATAAATAAATAAAATAAAATAAAAGGTCATCCAGGAACAGAGGGATGTAAGGGGCTATGGTGCTTGCCTAGCCTTGCCAAGCCTGGTTCAATCCCTGACCCCACCAGATATGATCCGTGAGCTAGAGAGCCAGGAATAATCCCTGAGCACAACTTGATGTGATGGCAAACTTAGCATTGTAGCACAGTCCTCTCGTTGTTCATCAGTTTTGCTCAAGCGGGCCCAGTAACGACTCCATTGTGAGACTTGTTGTTACTGTGTTTGGCATATCGGATATGCTCTGGGGAGCTTGCCAGGCTCGGCCGTGGGGGTGAGATACTCTCGTTAGTTTGCCAGGCTCTCTGAGAGGGGCGGAGGAATTGAACCCGGGTTAGCCAGGTAGGCCATGTACAAGCCAAATGCCCTACCGCTGTACTATAGCCAAACTTAAAAAAAAAAAAAAAAGGACCTAAATTAAAATAAAAAATAAAAGTTATCCAACTCGTAGAAAGAGGCCCTGGAATGAATAATATGGATTTCTATGTTATGCACATAGTTTGGAAGTTGATGGTTAGGTTCTATGGCTTGTGTCAATAACACTATTCAGTGGGAACACAGATTTTTGTTGTTCTTTAGTGGTGTCAGGAATCGAACCCTCACACATGCTAAGGCAAGCACTCTGCCTCTGAGCCATATCCTGGGGCCCGAGACTGTGGATTTAGAAGCTAGGAAAGAGTTTCCTATCAAAGCTATCCCTTTGGGGGCTGGAGCAGTAGCACAGCGGGTAGGGCATTTATTTGCCTTGCACGCGGCCAACTCAGGTTCGATTCCCAGCATCCCATATGGTCCCCTGAGCACCGCCACGGGTAATTCCTGAGTGCAGAGACAGGAGTAACCCCTATGCATCACCAGGTATGACCCAAAAAGCAAAAACAACAACAACAACAACAAAATACAAAAAAGCTATCCATTTGACACAGAGTACACTAAGGGTTTTTTTACCATAGTGGAAAATAATGAACATTTGTGGAAAGACACCTTCTTCTGTCTCCCTGAGTAGGGGAGATCACTTGGCTGTTGCAAGTGTGTGGTCTGGTAGGTGAGAGAGAAACAGGCCAGAACATGGAATGTAGCCCTCTCCAAAAGTTCTAATATGAAACCTGTCATCAATGCTTTGCCTTCTCCAAGGGGACCAGTAAGTCTACTTAAGAGAACTGGAGTTAGGTAAGGAAGCAAAAGTGCCATTCTAGGTCCACAAATTCCAAGGTCACATGGAAAAAAGGAATCAAGTCCCTTCAATGCTTGTTCTGAGCTCTGGATACGGGACGACCATTAAACCACAGTGTGATACCGGCTTGCAGGAATGAGGTGACATAACATTTTTTTTTATTGTCGTTCGCCTTTTACTGCTCCCCAGAAAGTCCTTCCTCCTTTTTGACTTTCCTGAACCGTAGTCATTGGCAGAGCACTCCGTGGGCCTGTGTTTCTAATTAAGAGTTGGACGGTGAGCTGGAGTTTTGACGAGGTCATCTCTGGGTGTGTCGGCCTTGGTCAGCGTCCAGCAGCTGTTAGTGTATCCTTGGGAATGAAAATGGAATCCTTCACAGGATGGGTTTTAAGAACACCGCCTCATCCTCTGCAAACAGGAAATGCTCAGTTGAATATTCACACCCCCCAACGTGGGATACCACATTTTCTCCACAGGCCGTCGTTTGGCTTGTGAGACCCCGTGACCTTTTCGCCCTATCAGAGAATGGAAGGTCGATTCAGAGCTCCCCCACCCTCAGGGACACTCACTTTGACCCAGGCTTGTGTGGGACATTACCTGTGCGGGACCTCAGGACATTCCTTTCCGTGGCCTTGTCACTACGGTGGGCAGGACAGTCTATAGGTCAGAAAGCGGGTGGTTGGTGGGTGGTAGTGGTGGGTGAGGAACCAGGCAGTCAGACTCACATGCTCGAGTTCCTCAGAGACCACATTGTAAGCCCATGTACTGTTGTGTGTGTGTTTTTTTTTTAATTTGTGAAGGTGGTTCAAGAACACAGAGGGCCGATCTCGTGAATCTCTACTTGGGAACATAACGGCCGCCTTTCTGTGGTTCCTCTGAAGTGAGGAGCTCGTGATGTTTGTTTTTGTAGAGTTATTTCTAAACTTCAGGAAAGAGGCAATCCATGGCCTTAGAGTGCTGAGGCATTGAGACTTATTCTTTCTCAATATGGGATGGGCTGTTCTGTGGGATGAGATTAGGGAACCACGTAAAACACAGGAAGCTTCACGAATGCAGTCATGGGTTTTTTGTTGTTGCTGCTGTTTTGGTTTGGCTTGGTTTGGGGTCACATCCAGTGATGTTCAGGGGTTAATTCTTCCTGTCTCTGCACTCTGGTGAGCTTGGGGGACCATATGGGATGCCGGAAATCAAACCCGGATCATCCTAATGCAAGGCCAGCACCCTATCTGCTGTACTGCCTCTCGGGCCCCTTGTCTTATTTTTTTTAAGTCATAGAACTCTCTCCCTGCAGATCATAACCTCTTGCAAGTTATGATCTCCCATCTCCACTGTTTCCAAGCATGGTGGAGCAAGCCCTGAGCTCTGACCCTAGGAGATGCCTGGATAGGAACTTTGCAGACTGTCCATGGTCCATTCATGAACCGTCCAATTAGGCCCTAGAGCCCAACCAAATTTAATGGCCCAGGAAGAAGAGATGTCAAATTACCATTCAGTAAGAAATGATACTGGCTTTGTTTTGTTCCCCAACGTGAATTGGTGGTTCTGTTCCATAGACTTTTTTTTTTCCTTTTGGTTCACACAGGGCGATGCACAGGGGTTACTCCTGGCTCTGCACTCAGGAATTACTCCTGGCGGTACTCAGGGGACCATATGGGATGCTGGGAATTGAACACGGGTTGACCGCTGTGATATTGCTCCAGCCCTCTGATAGAGACTTTGGTGGTATATTTATGGATGGTTTTATTTCATTGGTAGTGATATTAGCATCACCGCTGAATGCCTTGGCATGTTGTTTAGTTTTGAAGTCTCTTGGTAAAGGTGGAACTGTACCTGATGTTAGGCACGGCCTGTGATGTGGGCAGGCCATAACCATCTGAGAAAATTGAATTCTTACTAAGGCCTCTACCAGTGGGTGGATTTGTTCAGGAACCCTGGGCTGCTTTTTTTTTTTTTTAATTTTTATTAGTGAGACACCATGAGGTACAGTTGTAGACTTACACATTTTTGTGCTTGGATTTCAATTATACAATGATCAAATACCCATCCCTCCACCAGTGCCCATTTCCCACCACCACGGATCCCAGTATCCCTCCCATCCCCCATCCCCCTCATCCCACCTTGCCTCTGTGGCAGGGCATTCCCTTTTGTTCTCTCTCTCCCACTGGGTGTTGTGGTTTGCAAAAGAGGCAATGGGTGGCAATCATGTTCGGTCTATAGTCTACTTTCAGCATGCTTCTCCCATCCTGGGAGGATCCTCCCAATACCCTTTATTTGGTGCTCCCTTCTCTGTCTGAGCTCCCTTTTCCCCTAACATGTGTGGCTGGCCTCCAAGCCATGGAGCAAAATTCCTGGTACTAATCTTGGCCATTCTTGGGTGTTAGTCTCCTATTTGGGCTGCTTTTGTGTCTAGGAAATGTCACTAATATCATCTCTTTCCTCCACATCAGGATCACACCCACCCCGCTCGGAGAAGGGAAAAGCACGGTGACGGTGGGCCTGGTCCAGGCATTGACCGCACACCTGAACATCAACTCCTTCGCCTGCCTCAGGCAGCCTTCTCAGGGACCTACTTTCGGAGTTAAAGGTACTTTGTTTTGGGCCAGCGCGATAATGCAACAGGTAGGGTGTTTGCCTTGCTGCCATCCCTGGCATGCCATATGGTCCCCTGAGCACCGCCAGGAGTAATTCCTGAGTGCAGAGCCAGAAGTAACCCCTGAGCAACGCCAGGTGTGACCAAAAAAAGCTTAAAAAAAAAGGAAGTTTGTTTTCACAACGCCTGTCATTTTCCAAGTGCACACGTAGAGGGAGAAAGGTTAGAAAGAATCCCTAGTAGATGTAGAAAATCTTAGAATCGGCACCTCTAATTGCCGTGGGAACCTTTCTTATACCCTCGATCCACAGAGGCTACCAGTTGGTCCTCCCACTGTTGGGGGCTCCTTGGAGATTCTCAAAGCTGATCCCCCAGTTCCATAGACCCATGGCCAGACTCCTGAGAAGAAACTTCTGTTTCATCAGTGCCTTGGCCACATGATTCTGAAACTCTATCACTCATTTTGGTGCTCCGTCACCCCAACCATGTTGAGAGGTCTTTCCATCGGGAGGGGGGTGGTTTGAGACCCCTCTGAGACCCCAGCTGGTCAGACATGCTGTGTGAGGCCAGAGGAGATCTTCAGACAGGCCTGGGATGGAGAGATGGGAAAGTTCTCTAGGTACTGGTGGTTCTGGTTTCTGGGACCTTCACCTTCTCTGCTCTTCCTTCATCGATTCATCACAGGATCACTTGCCACTCTTCATAGTGGCCTTTACCCCTGGCGGTGCTCAAGGGGCCATATGGGATGCTGGGAATCGAACCCGGGTCAGCCACGTGCAAAGCAAACACCCTACCTGCTGTGCTATTGCTCCAGCCCCTTCACTTCGGGTTCTTAACAGCATTATAGTTATGTCACAGATATGAATTCTCCCTATGTATTGATAACTCCCAATTCATTATGTACTGATTAACTTAGACAATGCCGCACATTATGTCTTGGAATAAACAGGAGACGTGGCTAAGCTTTGTTTGCTTTTTGCAACTCTTAATACTGGGTCACCTTTTGCCAAGCACAACCTATGAACAGATAAAAGCCTTTGGCATTGCCAGAATGATAGCTGAGGGGTTAAGGCCTTGCATATAACTGAACTGGGTTCTATCCCTAGCACCGCATATGGTCCCCTGAGCCCCACCAGGAGTGACCCATGAGCACAACCGGGTGTGACCTAAAAACTCAACACAAAGCAAAACAAATAAAAGGCTTTGGGGAACTATTAAATGATGTTCACTGGAAAATATTGTTTTTGAAAAAAAAGAAATGATATTCCAGAGGCCCTCATGGAGATCCTTGGCAAACTGAGGCCATGGGGGGATGCATGCCAGGCATTGCCCTGAGCCACCCCAGTGGTGTCTGGGCGGGGGCCTAGAGCTCCCTCGGCAGTGCTCACGGGCCTTGTGGTGCCAGGATGGGTGTGTGCCTAACTGCTCTACTCTCTCCTGGCCCCTGTGATTACTGTTTTCAGGAATAAACGGCATTGCCAATTGTATGTGCGTTTATCTAAAATAAATGCAAGTTTATAGTCTTTTGGTTGAACTCTTGAGTTTTCTTCAATGTAATTTAGCTGAAGCATAGCTTCCTAGATCTAATAATCAAAATCAAGCCATAATCTCATATGCTGCTTCTGACGAGTGATATTTGTCTGAGTCGCTTTTATTTCATTTTATTTGGCCAGGCTGGAGCGATAGCACAGCGGTAGGGCGTTCGCCTTACAAGCGGCCAACATGGCCGACCCGAGTTCGATTCCTCCGCCCCTCTCGGAGAGCCCGGCAAGCTACCGAGAGTATTTGATATGCCAGACACAGTAACAACAAAGTCTCCAATGGAGACGTTACTGGGCCCGCTCGAGCAAATTGACGATCAACGGGAGGGCCTTATTTGGCCGGGGGGGAAGGCTGGAGCCATAGCATAGTGGGTACGGCGATTGCTTTGCACGCGGCCGACCTGGGTTTGATTCCTCTGCCCCCCTCGCTCCCCCCTCCCCCCTGCCAGAGAGCCCGGCAAGGTACCAAGAGTATCCCGCCTGCACGGCAGAGCCTGGCAAGCTCCTCGTGCCATATTCAATATGCCAAAAACAGTAACGACAAGTCTCACTGTGGAGACGTTTCTGGTGCCCGCTCGAGCAAATCAATGAACAACAAGAGGATAGGACAGTGCTACAGTGCTATTTTTTTTGGAGGGTGAGGCAGGTCATTCTTGGCAGTGTTGGGGGGCACCACTTGGTGCCAGAGATCCCACCTGGGCCTCCTGCTTCCATTACACACGGTCTACCCATTAAGCTCTCTCTCCGGCCCTCATTATTCATATTATGGTTGTTATTTTTTTTTTTAATGGTTGTTATTTTTAACGCAGACCATGCGCCTTCCTTAGGTTGTGTAATTGGTCTGTGGGTCGGTTTCCTTCTGTCCAACTCAGATGGACATTAGTGTCTGTAGCTCATTGTCTGTTGTTGCATCTGGTACAGAGTCGCCTTTCGGATTGAGGTGTAGCCATGGGGCTTTTCTCCTCTGGGCCAACGTCCTTAGCCACTTATTCTAACTGGTGCCCACTGTCTTGTCTAGGAGGAGCTGCAGGGGGCGGATACGCACAGGTCATCCCCATGGAAGAGGTAAGATTCCGCAGACACCCCCAGGAGGATTGCTGCTCTTCCCTTTCTCCATAAACACGGGTCCACAGTCCTTTATCCTCAACCCCAAAGTCCCAAAAGCTCTGAAAACCCAAGGTATTGTCTGGCTCACTGGGTGGCCAAAAATGGCATTTATGTGTTTTGTTTCTGCCAGTGATAGAGAGAATACAGCGGGTAGGACATTTGCCAGGCATGCGCCTGACCTGGCTTCAATTCTCAGCATCCCATATGGTCCCATGAGAACTGCCAGGCATAATTCCTGAGTGCAGAGCCAAGAATAACCCCTGAACATTACCAGTGGTGGCCCCAAAACAGAAAAAATAAAATGAGAGAGTCTGGTAACAGGTTGTTCCAATGGAATATGGGCAATGGGAACCAGTGAGGGAGATCAATTCTTTGGGGCGTGGAGGGTGGGGGTGTTGTTTCAGGACATACCTGGTGGTGCTCAAGCATCATATATATTGTCACCTGCAAGGCAAGTGCCTGAGCCCCTGTGCTCTCACTGGCCCTAGCGGTCAGTTCTTGCTTCTCTCCTTCAGTCACTGCATCACCTGCCGAGAGACCATGGCAGGAGGGTACTGGATGAAACACAACCATGGGATTATTTTTTTTTTAATTTTTAAATGTTATGTTCATAATTTTGTTCACATTCATTGATTGCATTCAGTATTTCAACACCAATCCCATCACCGTTACACCTTCCCACCATCATTACTTCGAGTTTTTCCACCACCATTCAAGTCTGCCTGCCACAGGCAGATGCTAGATAATTTATTTTTCATTGCTTATTATGGGGCTGGAGTGATAGCACAGCGGGTAGTGCGTTTGCCTTGCACGCAGCCAACATGGCCGACCCGAGTTCGATTCCTCTGCCCCTCTTGGAGAGCCCGGCAAGCTACCGAGAGTATCTCGCCCGCACGGCAAAGCCTGGCAAGCTCCCCATGACGTATTTGATATACCAAACACAGTAACAACAAGTCTCACAATGGAGATGTTACTGGACCCACTAGAGAAAATCGATGAACAATAGTGATAGTGATAGTGCTTATTATGAATATCATGAGAGATTGTGCAGCCGCTTTTGTGGCTGCAGGCTCCTGGAATTCTACAAAGTGTAAATGATTGGTGTCCAGAGATGTCTCTGTAGGGAGCTAATCCGTTTTGAGATTCTTTTGGGAGTCTCTGTATTAAGGTCATTAACATGCGCTGAGATGGCGCCCGGAGGCAGATCATGGGTGTGACAAGCAGGACCCCATGTGGGCAGGGAGACGGGACATCATGTGGCCTGGATTTTTCAGTCCCTGCTCCCGTGTACCTGGGTTTTTCTTCTGGAAGTTCGTGACCACCGAGAGTTCATCTGGAATGGGTAGAGGGGACACCCGCTCCATCTGAGTAGGAGCCCTGGTGAAGTCCGCTCGGCACGAGGTCCAGAGAGATCTGCGGCAAGGGCCTCTCTTCCGGGACTCACTGCTGAGTGAGATGATCTCAGATTATTTATTTATTTATTTATTTATTTATTGCTTTTGGGGTCGCACCCAGCAATGCACTGGGGTTGCTCTTGGCTCTGCACTCAGGAGTTACTCTTGGCGGTGCTCAGGGGACCATAGGGGATGCTGGGAATCGAACCCGGGTCGGCTGCATGCAAGGCAAATGCCCTACCCGCTGTGCTATTTCTCCAGCCCCAGGTTAATTATTTCTTAAATGGAGGGGCAGTGGAGTTAGGGCTGAGAGGTATAAATGAAGGTGGCAACGGGAAGGGGTATCAGTAGGAATGGATTCGGTTTAAGGCTGTTGGGTGTGTGTGTAGATAATAAAAGACAGCTGGGATGAAAAACTTACTCCTCAGTTGTAAAGGATTTATTTGCAGATGGGTGTTTGCTAAGAACCCGGAGAATCCACACTCAAATCACTCTCTTATCCTCTTACTTGTCCAATGGGCAGAGCTGGATTTTTAAAAAAAAAAAAAACAATGATTATATTAAATGTTGGTTAAGTGAAGTTGCTGATTGCACTGCTGGGAAGTGAGCAGTGATGAAACTTCCTTGGAGGGGAATTAGAAATATGTATCATGTGCCTTCAAAACATCCATACCCTTTGGCCTAAATGAAGCGTAAGGAAAAGCCATGGGTACAAGAATATCGCTTTAAACCTTTTATATTTAGTAAAATACAATCTGTGGCATTTAACAGTTAGGGAGAGGAGAAAATTTTAAAGTCAAGACATCAAGCCTACTATATTTTGATGAAAAAATTCTGATAAGTGTGAAATTTAAGGTATAAACTATTCCAGTGTTATACCAGTAGTTAGAATTATAAATGTAGGGGCCGGAGAGATAGTACAGTGGGTAAGGCCCTTGGCGCTTGCCTTCCATGTAATCATTCCTAATTTTATCCCCAGTCCAGAGCCAGGAGTCCAGACCTCTGTGCATCACTGGGTGTGGCACGAAAAGCTCCTCCACTCAAAAAATTATGTTTATTTTGCATAATTAGTATATTTATAATTATTCACATTCTCTATTGTATGTCTATTTACAAGATTTGAGCAGGAAAAGATAAACATTCAACCTAATCAAGCAGCTTAAAATCTGGATATTTTGTTTTGTTTTTGTTTGGGGCCACACTTGGCGGTCGATTGCCTCGAGCAGGCCCCAGTAACGTCTCCTTCATTCTAGCCCTGAGACTATATTCAAGGCTCTTTAGGAGAATGAGACCCATCATTGTTACTGGTATTTGGCATATTGGGTACGCCACGGGGAGTTTGCCAGACTCTGCCCTGTGGGAAGGCTACATTCGGTAGCCTGCCAGTTTGTCCAAAGTAGGAATGAGATAATAAGATGTCATAATAAGATGTCTTGGCAGTGCTCGGGAGTTACTTCTGGCTCTGCACTCAGGGATTACTCCTAGAGGTGCTCAGAGGACCCAGTGGGATGCTGGGGATTGAACCCAGGTGGGCCTCGTGCAAAGCAGATGCCTTACCTGCTGTACTATCATTCCAGCCCCTCTTTTTTTTTTAAGTCTAGAGGTTATTTATTTATTTTTTTTAAGTAATGAGTTTACTAGTATTGCAAAACGCTATTTGGTGCTATTACCAAGGTACTTTAACCTAAAAAAAAACTGTTTATAGGACTGGAAGGAAGGGGGTGTTGGTCTTCAAGGTCGCGTTGTAGGACTTAGGGGGATCCTCTTGCTGACTCTCAACTAATCATGCCCAAGGTCCAAGTTTGAGCTGCACAGAACCTTCAGTATTAGGGATTACCTGGGTCACCCCTGCAGAGCTTGGGGGTCCTGTGTGGTGTCTAGGGTTGAACCTGGTCTGCTGTACGCAAGGGCTGTGCCTTTCTTTCTTTCTTTCTTTCTTTCTTTCTTTCTTTCTTTCTTTCTTTCTTTTTGCTTTTTGGGTCACAGCCAGCCGATGCTCAGGGGATACTCCTGGTTCTGCACTCAGGAATCACTCCTGGCAGTGCTTGGGGGACCATATGGGATGCTAGGAATTGAACCCTGGTTGGCCACGTATTGCTCCAGCCCCAGGGCTGTGCCTTTACTTCTCTCTCCAGCCCCAGTATTTGTGTGGGGAGGAAGTGAGTCGTATCCAGCAGTGCTTGGGGCTCTTTGGGGGAACCCGGTGGTGTTGGAGATCAAACCAGGTTTGACTCCAAGCCACACTTTACCCCTGTATAATCTTTTTGACCCCTCCCTCCTCGCCCAGTATGTGTTAACTATTTGATTATTTTCTTTGTCATTGCGAAAGTGAATAATCGGAAGCAACTTGAAGATCTAAGGGTAGAAAATGGGAACATATGGGACACCATAGACTGTCTCCATCTTAGTGTCTTGAGAGCCAAACTAGGCCACTGTGTCATCATGGCATGGTATTTAAAAAAAGAAATGACCCGATTATTGGTTTGCTGCTCCTACAGATACCAATCACGGTGCATGTAAGACTAGTAGGAAAATAACTCTCACTAGAGTTGGGCAGATAGGTATTTTTCTGTTTCCCAGACTTTCTAACCTTTTCATGTCCCTCTGTTATTGTTGATTTTATTCCCTAGTTCATTCGCAAGTGCATTTGATACAATAATGTTTTATAAATCATGTATTGATGCATCAGAGGTCAGCAGAAAAAGGATAACCAGGCATTGAGGTCATTCAGTAGCTCATCACAACGTTTTGCCCTTGGCCCCTAGAATGGGACGCCTTGTTACAGTCTGTTTGAGTTCTTTGCGAACAACCAGAACACAGCTAACACAAATTTTCTGATTTTATGTATGCCCTTCTTTGTACTTAGCTCATTAGAAAGCTCTGTAATTAGAAGAAGGTTGTATTCATTCAGGAAGTCCTTGAAGGCTGCCATGTTTGTTAAAAACAAGTCAAGATGTCTTCATTCTATTGACAGTTCAGATTCCAATGGTTTTTATTGTTGTCCCTTTTCTTTTTGGTTGTTGGGGGTCTGTGTCCTATAGACTTCAGGGCCTGTTGCCAGCTTTTTGCTGAGGGATCATTCCTGAGGGATTCCTAGATTATAGGATAACATTGGTTTGTCTTTTCCACCTTACCACAAGAAGCCTAGGTTTATTGAGTTGCTCCCATCACACTGGCTCTCATTCCTCAGTGTTTATTTGCTGTGTTAATTGCTCTGAATCAACTATACAAAGGACTTAAGGAGAAGAGAAAAATAATATTTGCAAGTCAACAGAGCACAAAGAAAGAGGTTACAAATAAACACAGAGGAATGGGAGCACTGTGATGGGAGGAAAAACAGATGTTATACTACACTAGATGGTGCTGGGGATCAAATCCAGGTAGGCCCCCTTGCAAGGCAAACTCCTTAACCTCTGTGCCCCTGCTCTGTCTTCCTGCTCATTCGTAGTTCAACCTTCATCTGACAGGGGACATCCACGCCATCACTGCTGCCAATAATCTGCTGGCTGCTGCTGTGGACGCGAGGATTTTCCACGAAAACACTCAAACAGATAAGGTAAGAAAGGCCCCTCACGTGCTCCTTAGCTGTGCTTACTCAGGATTCCTGAGTTCTTCGGGAGTTCAGGGAAAAGTTAGGGAGTATATACATTCTCAAGTTCTCCTCAACATTGTGTGCAAAAGAACAGAAACAACCAGTGCTGGTGTGGATGTGGGGAAAAAGGGATGCTCTTTCACTGTTGATGGGAATGCTGACTGATTCAGCCTTTTTGGAAAACAATATGGGCATTCCTTCAAAAACTAGAAATTAAGCTTCATCTGACCCTGCAGTACCACTTCTGGGAATATATCTGGACGGTGCGAAAAAGCACAGTAGAAATAACATCTGCACCTGTATCTGGAAACAACCCAAGTGCCTGAGAACAGACAACTGATTTAAAAAAATTTTGGTACATCTACAGTGGAATACTACGCAACTGTTAGGAGAGATTAAGTCATGAAATTTGTTTATAAGTGGATGGACATGGAGAGTATCAGGCTAAGTGAAATGAGTCAGAAAGAGAGGGACAAGATATAGAAGGACTGCATTCATTTGTGGAGTATAAAATAACATAATAAGAGACTGACACCCAAGGACAGTAGACACAAGGGCTAGGAATATTGCCCCATAGTTGGAAACCTGTCTCATGAGTTGGGGGTGAAGGCAGCTGGAATAGAGAAGGGATCACTAAGTCATTGATGGTTGGAGGGATCGATTGGGATGGGAGATGTGTGCTGAAAGTAGATAAAGGACCAAATGTGATGGCCTCTCAGTATCTGTATTGTAAACCAGAATGTCCAAAAACAGAGAGAGGGTGGGGGAAATTGTCTGCCATGGAGGCAGGGCGAGGGTTGGAAAGGGCGAGTATATGGGGGACATTGGTTGTCTAGAATGTGCACTGGTGGAGGGATGGGTCAGTTCAATTGTATGATCGAAACTCAAACATGAAAGCTTTGTAACTGTATCTCACGGTGATTCAATAATTAAAAAAAACTGTGCGTTTCACAAGGATCCTTCCTTCAGGATGGAGAGATGCTCCATATGATGGTTAGTGCCTCAGATGAGGATATGAACACAGTCAAGGGATTGAGAGAGTATTAGTAGTTGTACTTAGTTGGGCTTTTATTTTCAGGGACAGGGGAGGAGGGATCTTCCAATAGCGCCAGTTGTGGTGTTAACTGGAACAAGCTGAATTCCCAGCTGATTTGGTGTATTCTCAATTTCTTCTATTGAATGAGAGGACCATGTTATTCTTGGGTGAAGCATTTCGGGCGCCACTCAGGCTCCCCTGGCAGTGTTCAAGGGACCATTCGGTGCTGCTTTATACCAGCATGCATCAGAGCTCTTACCATGTCTCTCGCTCTGATCGCTGGACCTGGACTTTTGGGGCCTCACCACACAGTGCTCTTTGCTCTGGAGATTGCTCCTGGTGGTGCTCCAGGGCCCATGCAATGCCAAGGATGGAACCTGGGCCTCCAGCATGCCATCCATGCACTAGTTGAGCTCTCTCTCCAGCCCTGGGAGTACATTCTGGGTGTACATTTCATATTCACTATTCTTGGACATGAATCTGGTTTGGAAGGAAGTTGGTAGAGAATTTTTCTTTATTCTTTCATAGGGTTCATCTTGTCTGTCCTTTGGGGAGTGGGGGGTGGTTTTTTAAAAAAATTTATTTATTTATTTATGCATTTGCTTTTTTTTGGGTTATAACCTGGCGATGCTCAGGGCTTACTCCTGGTTCTGCACTCAGGAATTACTCCTGGCAGTGTTTGGGGGACCATATGGGATGCTGGAAATTGATGCAAGGCAAACGCCCTACCCGCTGTGCTATTGCTCCAGCCCCATTTTTTTTTTTTTTTAAAGACTATAATGTTGTGGGCTGCTATCCTGGATGTCACATTGCCCTGAATTTTACTCCAAGAGATGAGAGTGACTCTCCAGAAAAGGGCACAGCATGCCCGGTGCCTATTCCTCATAGATCCAGGACTTGGATTACACTGAAACTTTTTGGCATGCTCCATGAGTCCTGATTTCCTCCAATTAAATTAACTCCCTAGTGAGTTTTTGAATTCGAGTACAGATAAATATTAATTTGATGATAATAACAAGGCCAAAATTATAATAAGGTCAAAAAGAACACATGCTTATGCAAACTCTTTGCAATGTGCATTATTTCAGATCTTGTCAGATATATTAAAATGACAGAATCGACGTTCTATATTGTTTGCATCAACCAGGAATTTTAATAAGGCCTGTAATCTAAACAGTTTGGTTATAAATGTAATGAACTTTGGCATATCGTGTGCATTTTCCAAGTTTGTGGTTGGCCCTTAAAAACTTCTGTGGGGTTTTATTTTTTATATTTCTAGGCTCTATATAGTCGACTGGTTCCTTCCGTGAATGGTGTTCGAGAATTTTCTGAAATTCAACGTGCTCGGCTGAAAGTAAGTTTTCAATTTGTGGTACTTTTGAAAGGAAACTACTCTGGGAACAAATCAGAAAGTATTCAGAGGCAGAAAATTCAAATATGATTTGATTAGGGTTTTAAGATGTTCTTGGGTGTTAAATCTCAAAGCACAGAAATAATATAACCAAGAGCACAGAGTACCAAGCACTGGTGCCTACACCAAAAACCAGACAAGTGAATTCTCAGCTTATTTCATGGATTCTCAGCGTCTTCTATAGAATGAATGGAGCATGTGCTGATGCAGTTAACCTCGTGAATAACCAAATGAGAATTCCCATCAGTTTTTCTTTTAATTTCTAAAAATGCTGGTCAATTTTAGGCCTCTGGACTTTCTTTTAGAGTGAGATCAAACAATGTACAAATGCTTTAGGATAGAATACTGAGGTAATTATTCCAAGCAGAAAGTTTTATTTATAATGGTATAATGGTAAGATGGGGACTATATTTTTAATCCTCAAATTATTTTTGTTTGTTTGGGGGCCACATCTAGAGGTGCTCAGGGATTTTTCCTGACTCTGCACTCAGAGATCACTCCTGGAAGGCTGGGGACATCATGTGTGGTGCCCAGTATCTAACGCCGTTGGTCAAATGTAAGGCAAGCACTATAACTACTATACTATCACTCTAGTCCATTATTTTAAAGACATTTATTTTTATCTTAAAAGAAATCACTTAATCACTTAACTTCCCGTTAGTCGTCGATTTGCTCGAGCGGGCGCCAGTAACGTCTCCATTTGTCCCTGTCGCGTGCTAGTGTAGCCCAATGGCATCTCTTCGCTCCGGGAACATGGAGGGCCTCAAACCGATCGTTCATGACCTTGACAAAGAAGTCTGACCATCTGGTAGGTGGGCGGCCACGCGGTCTCTTGACATCCCATGGAATCCAATCAGTAACAGCTCTAGTCCAACGGTCGTCTTTAAATCTCATTACGTGACCAGCCCATCTGATTTTCGACACCTTGGCAAATGAGACAGCGTCCCTGATCCTTGATCGTCGACGGATGTCAGAACTCCGGATTCGTTCTCTCATTTGAGTGAAACGTGATATTCCAAGCATAGCTCTTTCTATTCTTCTTTGGGAGACCTGAATGGCGTTCTCATCTTGTTTGCGTAGGGCCCAGGTCTCTGAGGCATATGTTAATGCAGGAAGAACAGTGGAATCAAAGAGATGTGCCCGGAGCCGGAGGTTCTTCGTCCTCTTAGCTATTTCTTCGACGTTCTTGAAGGCGTTCCAAGCCGCTCTCTTCCTCCTGCGCAGCTCGGGTGCCAGGTCATTTGTCATGTTGACCTCTCGACCTAGGTACACATAGCTGTTGCATTCGGAGATGGTCGTTCCATTGAGAGCGAATGGGGCGTCAGGAACAAGGCTGTTTCTCATAAACATTGTCTTCGTAAGATTCAGCTGTAGTCCTACCTTTCCACACTCACGGTCAAAGTCGGCCAGCATTTGTGCCGCTTGGCTGATGTTTGGTGTTATTAAAACAATGTCATCAGCAAAGCGGAGGTGGTGTAGTTGCCGACCATCTATCTTCACTCCCATTCCTTCCCATTCCAGTCGTCGCATGATGTTCTCGAGGGTGGCACTGAAGAGTTTTGGTGAAATGGTATCACCCTGCCGCACCCCTCTCTTGACATCAACGATCACTTCTTTGTAGAATGGTGAGATCCTGGTAGTGAATCCACAATACAGCTCACGGAGGATCCTGATGTATTGGGCTTGAATGCCCTGATTGACTAGGGCTTCAATGACCGCTTCCGTCTCAACAGAATCAAAGGCCTTCTTTAAATCAATGAACGTTAAGCAGAGCGGCATCTTGAACTCCCGAGAAACCTCAATGAGTTTGGTTATCGTGTGGATATGGTCGATGGTGCTGAATCCTTTGCGGAACCCTGCTTGCTCACATGGTTGTCCTTCATCTAGTGTTCTGCCAATCCTATTCAGGATGACTCGAGTGAACAACTTGTAGATGACAGACAATAGGCAGATCGGGCGATAGTTGCCAATGTCATGGATGTCTCCCTTCTTGAACAGTAGTACGGTCCTGCTGGTTTTCCATTGAGATGGAACCTTGCATTCAGACAGGTAGCGAGTGAAGAGCCGAGCCAGTGTATTGATGAGTACTGACGGCAGGTTCTTCAGGTGTTCAGGTCTGACCTTGTCTGGGCCGGGTGCTGTTTGTTTCTTTACTGACGAAATGGCGTGTCGGATTTCGGAAGGGAGAACGTTGGGAACGACATACCCATCCTGTGGAATTTGGTATGTCGGCAAGTGGACATGGCTATCGAAGAGATTTGAGTAGAAGTCATGGATAATCTTCTCCATTGCCGTTCTGGAGGATGTGATGGATCCATCAGGACGTCGGAGGGCAGTCATCTTGGTCTTATAGTTGGCGAAGGACAGGCGGGCGTTACGAATACTTTTCCCGGCTTCTGCCGCATCTACCAGTACTTCTGCTCTTCTCTCTTTGAGGTCTTCCTTGATCGCATCTCTGCACTGCTTTGCAAGCTCGGACGTTAGCTTGCGGTTGCCTGAGGCATGCGCCAAACCACGCTGGCGAATTAGCTCAAGAGTTTTCGAAGATAGGCGACTTTTTTTGGCTATCTCTCTCTTGGCGTTCTTCGCACATTCATGGAGGTGCTGAACCAGTCGATCGTATTCCTCGTCAATGTTGTCAACAATGGCATCTTCCCATGTTGCCGCAATAGTACCAAAGAGTTCCCAGTTGGTGGTCGTTCTGGGAGTTCTCTTTTTGAACTTTGCAGCCCTTTCTCCCCGCTCTGTGAAGTAGAATTTTGCACGAAGGAGACGGTGGTCCGATCCCGTTCGAAATTTTGGGACAACAGCGACATCAGTCAGGCAAAACCGTCGATTGAATATGATGTGGTCTATTTCGTTGTGGAATCGTCCACCGGGAGACTCCCATGTCCATCGTTTAGATTCTGCCTTCTGGAACTGTGAGTTACCATGAATGGTCTTGGTCGACATGATGAACTCAGACAGTCTCTCACCCTGTTCGTTCCATTCTAGGCCGTGGGTTCCGATGTGAAGTTCTTCAGCTGATCTTCTCGGTCCTATCTTGGCATTAAAATCACCCACAATGATCTTGTAGAAGGTGTGGTCTTCTTTATAGAACTTCTCTAGCTCCATGTAGAACTTCTCGATTTCTCTTTCATCATAATGAGATGTTGGTGCGTAGACAACGAAGATAGAAACTGCAGGCAGTGAGCCACATCTATTCAAATGTAAACGTCCGATTCGGGTTGTTAGGCATTCGAATGAATCAATGCTCTTGGCCAAGTTTGTGTTGACAAGGACACCGACGCCTCCAACACCTCTTTTATCGCATGTTCCGAGGAACAATTCTTCTCCAGTGTCGAAAACGGCATGGTGTGATTCGTGTCTTCTTGTCTCGGTCAGACCAATGATGTCGTACTTGATCATTCGCGCTTGTACCATCAGGTCCTCGATGGATGCATCTGATGCTAGCGTACGTGCATTGAAAGTACAGACGATCATTTTTGTCTTCCTTCGTTGTGGCAGCCTAGGTCGGCCTTGAGATTTTGTCGGCCTCTCCTTTCTTAAAAGAAAACCATTTAAAATTTTGTCCATATATTTTGTTACTATCAGAGCTATTAGAAATTTCAAATATTCATCTTTCTACAAGCTAACACAAGTAACACTATATTCTTCGTCGCCAAATTTGGGTGTAAACAATTCAAGTGAAGACAATTATTGTTTCTGTATAGCACAGTGGGTAAGGTGTTTGCCTTGCACACAACTGACCTGGGTTCGATTCCTCTGTCCCTCTCAGAGAGCCCTGCAAGCTACCGAGAGTAAACTGCCCACACAGCAGAGCCTGGCAAGCTCCCCGTGGTGTATTTGATGTGCTAAACACAGTAACAAGTCTCACATTGGAGACGTTACTGGTGCCTGCTCAAGAAAATCAGTGAACAACAGGAGGACAGTGCAGTGCTACACTGCTGGTCAATAAAGAAATCCAGCTTTTGAAAAATTCATCTGTTCCAATTTTTGTTATAACCAGGTGTTAAAATTATACAAGGGGCTGGAGCAATAGTACAGCAGGTAGAGTGTTTGACTTGCACGCAACCGACCCGTGTTCCGTTCCATCCCCGTCATCCCATATGGTCCCCCAAGCACCGTCAGGAGTAATTCCTGAGTGCAGAGCCAGGAGTAACCCCTGAGCATCACTGAGTGTGACCCAAAAGGCAAAAAAATGAAATAAAATAAAATAAAAAATAAAATTCTACAAGTAAAAACATTTTCAAGTCTTAATGATTTTATCATTTCCTTGCACTGTTTGCTCTGAAAATTTCTACTAATCATGTAGCAATCAAAAAAACTTGTTTGTAGCCAACCCAGGTTCGATCCCCAGCATTCCTTATCGTCAGGAGTGATCCCTGAGTGCAGAACCAGGAGTGAGCTCTGAGCCTCACTGGGTATGACTCAAACCCCACTCCCCCAACCCTTCACAAATCCTTCCCCGCCCCCCAAAAAAAAAGCAGAAACGTTACTTAAATTGCTGGTGTTTGTGTTTGCAAACAAGAGCTCATGAACGGAAGCATCAGTTATATGGACATCCCTGCATGTCTGTCCCTAGTGAGCATAGTACCTCGTGGCCTGGAGAATACAGGGGAAATCCTGTAGTTTATCTATTTCCACATACCCTGCAGGAGTCAGCCTGAGCACCCCTGGGTTCTACCCCAGAACAAACAACAACAAAAGAATAGTTTTATCAGTCATAAAAACTGGAGGGACAATCTTTTTCTTTTTCTTTCTTTTTTTTTTTTTTTTGCCTTTTGGGTCACACCCAGTGATACTCATGGGTTACTTCTGGCTTTTGCTTTGCACTCAGGAATTACTCCTGGTGGTGCTCAGGCGACCATATGGGATGCTGGGAATCGAATCCAGGTTGGCCGCATGCAAGGCAAACGCCCTACCTGCTGTGCTGTCGCTCCAACCCCAGGAGGGATAATCTTGATTACCTTTTTTTTTGCTTTTTATTTCCTTCTGAAACCAATCACTTTTTTTCTTCTTCTCCGTCATCAGAAACTGGGAATCAATAAGACAGATCCAGGCTCCCTGACAGAAGAGGAAATACGGAGATTCTCCCGCCTCGACATCGACCCCGCCACCATCACGTGGCAGAGAGGTGGGTGGTCACTGCAACGGCCCTCGGACCACCTCCCCCAGCATTACTTCTTCCTCCTCCCACTTCCCTGCATGAACCTCTGCCTCACTGTCTCTGCAGCTGCTCCCCTGGGCCATCCTCTCTGTGCTCTCCTTCGTCAGCTCCCAGGAGGCTGCTTCCTGGGGCTCTCACCCTCTCCCTGCACAAAGGACACATCTGTCATCCTTTTGGGCTCCTGCTAGCCCCTCTTATCACCTTATTTCCTCTTATCCACGTGCCTGGACGTCTGTCTTTCTCTTCCTTTACCACCAGCATGAGGTGGCTCTTCAGACCGTATTTCCAGAGCGTCATTTTTTTGCCCATGCAAAAATGGGAGAACTGCGTCAGTACATGGTAACTGCTTTTGCCCAGAGTTCAAAGCTTTCATGTTTGAGATTCAGCCATATAATGATCGAACATCCATCCCTCACCAGTGCACATGCTCCACCACCAATGTTCCCAGTATTTCCCCACTTCTCCCGTCCCAGTCCTCATCCTCATCTTAGCCTCTGCCTGCAGACAATTTCCCCCATACTCTCTCTCTACTTCTGGGCATTATGTTTTGCTCGAATTTTCCCACCACCATTCAAGACTAACTGCCAGTGTCTAATGCCAGTCGTACGGGCATCTTTGACTTCTGCCCAGTGGGGACCAGGGCTGTTGATGCATTGAAATAGCGCCTGGAGGCAGATTGTGGGTGTGACAGTCAGGCTGCTGAGCAGGTGGGCTGTGACCTTTGTTGCCATGTGGCCCAGAGAACCTGCATACCTGGGCTTTGCTTGAGGAAGCTCTTGAGGTGTTAACCGTTTTAGAGGAGCTGAATATGCCTGTTTGGACTCAGCCTGCAGTGGAAACCCCTCCCTTCCACTCCCCATAGGGAAAGTGTTTCTTTTTTTTTCCCTTTTTTTCTTTTTTGGTCACACTTGGTGATGCACAAGGGTTACTCCTGGCTCATGCACTCAGGAATTACTCTTGGCGGTGCTCGGGGAAACATATGGGGTGCTGGGAATCGAACCTGGGTTGGCCGCGTGCAAGGCAAACTCCCTCCCCACTGTGCTATTGCTCCAGCCCAGGAAAGTGTTTCTTATTCCATCATCACATTGGCATGGGGCATGCCCTGCCACGTGCCCTCCGTCCCTTTTTTCACTCTCTCCCGGCACTGATCCTCCTGGCTAGAGGCTTTCCCTGTTTCTTGAGGCTCCCTCTCTGCACCCTCAAGGCTGCCAGTTCCAGAGAAAACAGATTTTACCCCCTTCTGCCTCTCTGACTCTGGGAACTCCCTGCCCATGTTTGATCTCTTCTGTTCCCTTTCAGTATTGGATACAAATGACCGATACCTACGAAAAATGACCATCGGGCAGGCAGACACGGAGAAGGGCTATTCCCGGGAGGTAGGTAGCTTCTCTTTCTCGGAGCACTCTGTGTTCTGTGCGTTTCCATGAGCTACATCTCTGCTTCTGTCTCCTGGATCCTCTCTGGGCAATGGCCCAGGGACCCCTGCCCTTATGGGCTTTATACTCAGTCTCTCCGCAGCTCAAGGAGGAAAGCCGTAGACAGATCCCAGCACTGCCCGTCTTTCCCGTCTGATTCTTATTGATTCCTGGAAGAGCCATTCAAGGTGTCCCTTGAATGTAAATTCTTACACCCAGCCAATCGGCAATCTGTTCGGAACCCCTGATAGATGAAGGTCTCAGCTGCATGAGTCAAGTCTTGGAAAACAAATACTTATTAGGCCTAATAGAGATTTTAAGGATGGATGTCTTATTACTCAAATCCAGGAAAAAAATGTGTAGGATAAATTATGCTCTCAGCCTATATTTTAATGGTGCTCAGGGAATATAAATTCTTCCTGTGATATTTTCAATCAGCCACACTAGGCTGCTAAATTTTTTTTTTCCCTTGTTATAAACTTCGGACGCTTAGACAGTGGTAGAGTTATTTATGGCGTTTTCATTCTTGGAATTTTACTGGGGAAAAAGGAATCATTCCCCCCACCCCCCACCCCAGCATTCAGTCCTCATGCCAAGTTGACTCTTGGACCGTTTGAATCAAAAAGTAAATCTCCAGCAATGGCATAGGGGTTCCGGCACATCCCTGGCGTGCAGCTCGCCCTGATTCGACCCCTGGCACCCTGGCATCAGTGGGTGCAGATTCGGAGACCCCCAAGATCTCCAGCTGTGGTCTGAGAAGCCGTCCACGCCCCTGACCTCATAAAACACATTTCAGGTGACCTGGCCAGCACTGCCTCCTCGGACTTCCGTCTTCACCCCATCACCTCCTCCTCTTTCTCCTGCAAACTCTGGAATATTCCATCATTAACCAGTGTCCCTGCTGGAAACTGGTGTTTGGGGTGGGAGAGTTTCTGAATGACAGGAAGAGGAACGCGAAGCCCCCCTGGGTGGCGGGCGGAGGCCTTGCTTCCTGGCCAGCAGACATTCTGCTCCTCGAAGTCAGGACAGGGTCAGCGCAGCTCTGCGGGGTGCAGGGGTGCCGGGGACACTTCCTGAGAAGCCGTCACTTGGGTATCCGCCAAGGAGATACAGTCGTATAGCCTGGTGGCCTGAGTGTGATTTTTAAGCTGGTTTCACATGCCACAGCCACAGATTCACCAGCAGGTCAGGGAGGAGGTCCTAGAGACAGCACTGGCCCTGTGGGTGAGCTCCGTGTTCATGGTACCCACGTTTGAACCCCAGCCACATTTTTGTTGTTGTTGTTTTGGTTTTCCTTGTTTTTTTTTTCTTTTTGGGTTACTCCTGGCTCTATACTCAGGAATTACTCCTGCCGGTGCTCAGGGAACCATATGGGATGCTGAGAATCGAACTCAGGTCGGCCCCGTGCAAGGCAAACGCCCTACCCGCTATAGTGTCGCTCCAGCCTCATAAACCCCAGTAACTTGTCCTTCCCAGGATGTCACCAGGCCCGAGCACTGAGAATGAGGTCTAGTGGGCCCAATGCTGCAAAGCATGGCCCCTCAGTCCTGCCCACACCTCACCCCCCAGAGGAGGAGGGCCACACATGTACTAGGACTCTTAGGGAAGGGCAGCTTCTCTTCTCTTGACACAGGGCACCGGGCCGGCGGGCAGTGGCGCCTGCAGTGACAGGACTCAATATTCTCTAGCACGCCTTGGGGCCTGTCTTCTTTTTTTCCTTTTTGCCTTTTGGGTCACACCTGGCGATGCACAGGGGTTACTCCTGGCTCTGCACTCAGGAGTTACTCCTGGCGGTGCTCAGGGGACCATATGGGACACTGGGAATCAAACCCGGGTCGGCCACATGCAAGGCAAATGCCCTACCCGCTGTGCTATCTCTCCTGGGGCCTTCCTTCTTGAACCCAAACCTTGGAGAGCTTCAGGTGGGGTTTTGTTGGTTGGTTTATTTTTTGTTTTTAAAATTTTATTATCGAATCTGTGAGAAAGACTCAAGTCGGCCGCATGCAAGGCAAACACCCTACCTGCTGTGCTTTCACTCCAGCCCCTACGTCATTTTTATCTGCAGTTTCTAGTGGAGCGGTGGCATAGAAAAGCATGCAGTCAAAAATCACTTAAGCACAGGGAACATATCATGAAAAATGTGATTATTGCGTATAGTTATATTTGACTTTCAGACCATTAGAGGGTCTCCAGTGGTGCTGAGAAGGGGGAGTGAGAACAGGTGCTGGAAGCCTGCAGTGCTTGGGGGTCTCCAGGCTGAGCCCAGCAGTACTCATGAGGCTGTGCGGTTGCCGGCGTTGAACCTGGAGTGTGAGCTGTAGCCTGGACAGTCTCCCAGCCCTCGGATAGTTTGTTTTCACTGAGTCAGTGACTCCTGACCTCAGTCTTCCTGGAAACTCCAGGGAGCTCCTTCTCGTCTTCGTCTCCTGCCTTGTCAGTGAGCTGCCTTCTGAGGGATTCTCCCACACCATCCTCTGGCTCACATGCCCTCGGAGGAAAAGAAAAGGTGTCGGAGTCCAGGCGTACTAGAGTCCAGGGGTAGCGTGATTTTTGGGGAGTAGTTTTTCCCCAACATGCCCAGACTCATTGTGTACCGGGTCCGGGCACATGTGGAGCGAAGAATGACGGGTGCATGGAGAAACCACTCTGGGAGAAGCTGCTGGTTGCTGGCTTTATTGCCAAATACACATGTATTTTATAGAGGGTCTGGGCTTAAGAGGATGGTCCAGTCACATAAAGTATTACTGCCCAATCACCTTTCCAACTTTGCTATTCCGTGGCCGAGGACCCAGTCAAGGTTGGATGCTGCAGTTAGGAATGCAGTTAGGTGACAATTCTTGGGGGATGGGACTCAAGGCCAGATACCTGGTGCTTGTCAAATGGGCCCAGACCCTCCCTATTGGGTCACTATGCAGGTGACCCAGGTCTTTTTTTTTTTTTTTCTTTTTGGGTCATACCCGGCAATGCTCAGGGGTTACTCCTGGCTCATGCACTCAGGAATTATTCCTGGCAGTGCCCGGGGGGGCGGGGGGGGGGGGGACCAATGGGAAGCTGGGAATCGATTCCGTGTCAGTCATGTACAAGGCAAACGCCCTACCTGCTGTGCTATCACTCCAGCCCCAGAGACAGCTCTTATCTGCTGTGCAGGGACAGGTCTTATCAGCTCTGGCTCCTGTTGCCATGGTCCATAACATGAGGAGGATGGGGAGGAGAGGGAAGGCCAGGTTTTGCTCGTCTGTTCCTGATGGGCTGTGCAGCTTGCAATGATAACCAGAGGAAGCCTTGGAAAGCCCTGGAACATTCTAGGTTGAATGAATGGGTCTGTTCATTCTTCAGCGACATGCATCCCATGTTGCTGGGAGACACCCTCAGCCCTCCAGGTGAGGGATTGGGGGTGCTCCTCTGTGCATGGTCTCTGGGGGCTCGGGGGTGCCCCGGGTGCTGGATGCGAGGGTGCTGACGGCACAGGGCTGAGCTGCTGTGGGTGCCCTTCCAGGCCCAGTTTGACATCGCAGTGGCCAGTGAGATCATGGCTGTACTGGCCTTGACCGACAGCCTCACGGACATGAAGAAGCGGCTGGGCAGAATGGTTGTGGCCAGTGACCGGAATGGACAGCCCGTGACAGCCGAGGATTTGGTGAGTCCCAGGAGCACGAGAGCTGCTTTCCTTCTCTCCCGTGTCTCTGTAGGATGCAAGGAGAAAGCACTGGAGTACTGTCCTCCTGTTGTTCATTGATTTGCTCGAGCGGGCCCAGTATCGTCTCCATTGTGAGACTTTGTTGTTACTGTGTTTGGCATATTGAATACGCCACAGGGAGCTTGACAGACTCTGCCGTGTGGTAGGATACTCTCGGTAGCTTGCTGGTCTCTCTGAGCAGGGGGTGGAGGAATCGAACCTGGGTCGGCCGGGCAGCCGAGTGCAAGGCAGACGCCTTACCCGCTGTGCTACTGCTTCAGCCCACAAGGAGAAAGAGGATTTTTTTTTAATTGAATCACCGTAAGATACAGTTACAAGCTTTCATGTTTGAGTTTCAATCATACAATGTTCAAACACCCGTCCCCCCACCAGTGCACAGTCTCCACCACCAAGGTCCCCAGTAGTGTACCCCCCTTCCCAATCCTCCCCCTGCCTCCATGGCAGACAATTTCCCCCATACTCTCTCTCTCTGCTTTGGGGCAGTATGGTTTGCAATATAAATATTGAGGAGGCACCGTGCAAACCACATTTTCCCTAGGAATTCTCAGGCCACAGTCCTGCGGGTACTCTTATGCCTCTTTTCAGCGGGAAAGTGAGGACCTAGAAAGAGGCATCTCACCTTGCAAGGCGGGGATGGGAGGCCTCGTTTGTGATCTTAGCTCTCTCCCAGGTGGGCTTCCAGTTTCCTTGCCGTGCTGCCATATCCATGGGCATCTGCATCTGGGCCGCAAAGGCAGCCAGTGGGGGTGAGTCTGGGTCCCCGCTGCCCTCCAGGCCCGCTCTGTGACGGACTTTGCAAGCGTCTGACATCTGCAGCCATTCACAGGAAGCCTGTAGTGAGGAGACCGACTGCACGGTTTGCTCGGAAACTCCTCTAGGCCCAAGGGTACCTCTGCTCTGGGGCCTCCTTCCAGAGTACTGTCCAGGCAGGGTTTGGAAAGGATGCTGTGACCGCTGCCCCCACGTCTCAGTGTGTCACCCATGCCCGGGTCAGGGTGGCGGAGCCCTGCAGGGACCTTGTTGGGGGAACAACCCTTATACAGATGCTAGTTATCAATAATCCAAGTGCCTTTTTTTTTTTTTTTTATTTGCAGGGAGTCACTGGTGCTTTGACTGTTTTGATGAAAGACGCAATAAAACCAAACCTGATGCAGACTCTGGAAGTAAGTGATTTTCTTGGGCAGAAATTGGGGACAGTTTGCTTTCCGTGCCTGCATAATCCCTCATTCCTCACCCCACCCTCCCCAAATGAGTATTTCCAGCTTAGAAGCACCCGTGAGGAACCCCCGGGTAACCTCTAGATTGTGCAAAACGCAAGTTTGAAATGTCCTCGGCTCTTAGCTGCGGTTCCTGTCTTGGCGAATGAAGTCCGTGCTGAGCTGTGTAGAAATTCACACACTCAGCATGTGTCTGACATCTCTGCCATCGTGTGGCTGTATTTCTATCTTCCATCTTGCCTTTTTATTGTTGACTAGCTTCTCCTAATCACTAGGGTTGGGGGTCACAGTCAGTGCACATAGTGAACGCTCCGAAATGCCTTCCAGAAGAGTCTGTTAGCCCCCATTGACAAAGCTTGCTGTCCCTGACTTTTTTCCTGCTCATTGAACTTGAACTTGATCATCAAACTGAAATGTTCTCAGCAAGATACCAGTGTCCATCCAGTTTCGTGGCCTCTTGTCTTATGCATGTGATGCCATGGGACTTTAGGATTTGGGTGCGCACAAGGCTGGGGGTAGAGGGGCATACGAGCGGGCATGGACAGGAGGTGGGTGGCAGGTAGAGAAATGGGGGGATGGGAAGCATGCCAGTAGGCAGCACTTTGGGGAAGGAGCCTATTCGTGGCACGGGCCACTGTGTGCTATGTTAGATTCTACCGTGGCTGACCTCTGACTGCCTCCAGATGCGTCTTTTGGCTGTGAGCAGAGGGTGTGGCCTGGAGACATGTTCTCCAGCTGTCACGGGGCAAAGGGAGATGAAGAAGCCACAGGGTGGACAAGTTCATAAAGCGGACAAGTGCTCAGCGAGAAATTTGTTCATTCAACAGGAGCTGGGGTGGGGGTCTTCTATGACCTCGTGTGCTCTCCAAGGAGTGGTCTTGGCTCACAGTGCTCACCTCCCCAGCTCCTCTGACCTACAACGTGGAACATTAACAGAGCAAGGACGGAGACAGCAGGGCTGGGGAGAACTGACCTCTCAGCACAGGTGCTCCAACCTACGGAGCTCGGCCTGCAAAGCTGTTGCCACGCCACGTACCTTTGTCTGATCTTATGGGGACCCTGGATTTTTCCCCTCTAGGGAAAGTGGGGTTTAGGGCAGAGTAGAGGGAGGGGATGGTAGTATCTGGTACCCATCCTGATGCTCTGAGATGATTCTCTTGACTTCCTCTTGCCTTTCTTCCTGCTTTGGTTTAACTTTTCATCTCTGCACCATGGTGGGCTGCAGGCCCCGCCTGGTTCGAGGCTCCTGCCTCACCCACCAGCCTCCCTGCGGTCTCCAGGGGTCAGCGCGAGGCCAAGCGGGGCCTCTGTTTTCACAGGTGGGGCCGAGGCTGTGTAGACACAGACCTCGGCGCCCTGGCCGCTCTCAGAATCAAAACTGGACGTTTCCCTTCACATGAGAATTCAGTTCAAGTTGTAGCCTGTTCTCACGAAGAAGGGAAAAGAAAACGTCTGGAAGTTGAATTGCAAATGAATATAGGCAGATCTGGTTTTTTTTTGGGGGGGGGGGTGAGGGGGGAGGGGTTGTTTAAGAATTAAAAGCTAAAATTTTGATAATTTCTTTAAGGATTTCCCCCCACCTTTCTTGCAAGAAATTAGTCAAACATTTTATTTCTCTTAACTTGTTGTTGGCTGAACAGCCAGGAGAATTTTTGAAACACAACAAGAAGGAAATAGACCATTAAAAAAAAAAAAAAAGGAAGAATTGGGGCTAGATCCATAAGACAGTGGGTAGGGCATTTGCTTTATACGTGGCCAGCCTTGGTTCGAAGCCTAGCATCCCCTATGGTCCCCTGAGCACCGCCAGGAATGACTCCTGAATGCAGGGCCAGGAGTAAGCCCTAAGCATCACCTGTCGTGGCCCCAAAACAAACAAAAACAGGTAAACAAAACTGGAATAACGAGTTTATAATTATAGATATAAAAACTGGCTGTAAAAACTTGAACCTTATAATAGTTGCTCTTCCCTAACTTACCCAATTTACTCATTGTATTGTTATTATGTATTTTTTTCTGGTGGTGGTTTTGGGCCAGACCCAGTGATACTCGGGACTTACTCCTGGGTCTGTGCTCAGGAATCACTCCTGACAGGGCTTATTGGACTATATGGGATACAAGGGACCACCCCAGTTGAGGTTTGCACCCTTCCCATTGTACTATTGCTCCAGCCCTTGATTCATTCCTTAATGAAGGGGGAATTTTAAAATTTTTTATATTTTGCTTTTTGGCGTCAAACCCGGCAGTGCACAGAGGTTACTCCTGGCTCTGCACTCAGGAACTACTCCTGGTGATGCTCAGGGGACCATATGGGATGCTGGGGATCAAACCTGGGTTGGCTGCATGCAAGGCTATTTTTTTTAATTTTAATTTTTATGAGTGAAACACCATGAGGTACAGTTGTAGACTTACAAGTTTTTGTGCTTGGATTTCAGTTATACAGTGATTGTGTATCCATCCCTCCACCAGTGCCCATTCTCCACCATCAATGATCCCAGTATCCCTCCCACCACCCATCCCCCATCCCACCCCACCTCTGTGGCAGGGCATTCCCTTTTTTTCTCTCCTTTTGGGTGCTGTGGTTTGCAAAAGAGGCATTGAGTGGCAATCATGTTCGGTCTCTAGTCTACATTCAGCATGCATCTCCCATCCTGGGAGGATCCTCCCAACACCCTTTACTTGATGCTCCCTTCTCTGTCTGAGCTGGCAAGGCAATTTTTAAATGAATCTCAGCTCGTCAGAGGTCGTGCCTGAGTATGTTAAATCTTCTCTTCCATGGCCCTTAAGGCAGCTAACATAGCCAAATGTTTTTGAAATTATATTGGAAATTTTTGATGTCTTTAGACTCTTCGCTCTAGTTTAGCCATGAATGGAGAATAGCATGTGTATATGAATTTGGAATTGAGAAAGGGATTTGAATTTCTTCCTGAGAATTGGTGCCTAAATGCAGTGCACTGGCCGGGAATGTGACTCCATGCTTTCCTTGGCATCATGAAGCGTGGGGTTGATTCCTTCCACTGAGAGGGAGAAAGAGGCTTCATCGCAGAGTATCAATGGGAGAAAATGGCATAGGCAAGTACCTGAATCCAACTGTCTGGGATACCTTGCCTGCCTTCCTTTCAACTGCGGATTTTTCACTTGAGTCTCCCTCTCCGCAGGGGACACCCGTATTTGTGCACGCGGGTCCCTTCGCCAACATCGCCCACGGCAACTCTTCTGTGTTGGCTGACAAAATCGCCCTGAAGCTTGTTGGTGAAGAAGGATTTGTAGGTAAGTCATTTCTCCTAAGCTTTCTTGTGGTGGAATCTCAAAGACCTTTATAAGTTGGTGACCGGAAATAGAATGACAAGCGTATACTGAATGTCTTCTCTTTGCTCTTTATTTCTTGTGGGAAATGGAGCAAATGGAGTAAGACCTGGGTCTCAGGGGTGACTCCTGAGACGCTGTGGGCAGGAGTGACCCCGGTGGAACTCAGGGTAACTGTCTGTGGTGCTGGAGATCTGCACCAGAACCTGGACCACTGCGGCCACTCATGAGCTGTCTCTTGGGCTGTGGCAGTGTTTTCTTCTAGTCTGTGTGGCATCAGTGGTCTCTGCCTTGGAAACATCCTATCTGCTGTAAACTGATTGCGGGTTTCTGGTCTCCGGGTCCTTCAGTTTCCATCGAAAGCTCTGATGCTTGTTGGCCAACTGAGGGCAAACACATTCGAATGACCTGAGCCTTGGGTTTCTTTCTCTCCTCTAAAATGATGAGAACAGGGCCTGGAGCAATAGCACAGCGGGTAGGGCATTTGCCTTGCACGCGGCCGACCTGGGTTCAATTCCCAGCATCCCATATGGTCCCCTGAGCACTGCCAGGAGTGATTCCTGAGTGCAAAGCCAGGAGTAACCCCTGAGCATTGCTGGGTATGATCCAAAAAAAAAAAAAAAAGCAAAATAAATAAATAAACAAATAAAATAAAATAAAATGATGAGAGCAAGAATTGCTTGTGCTCTTAGGGTAGCTGTGGAAACCAAGTGAAACTCTTCACTCAGTTCCTTTTCATTTTGTTTTGGCGGCTACTCCCGGCTCTGTGCTCCGGGCTGAGCACTCATTGCTCAGTGCTTCGGGTATGTCGTAGTGCCAGAGATTGAATCTGGAGATCCCGTGTGAAAAGCTGGTACTCTTGGCACTCAAGCTATCTCCCCAGCCTCACTCAGCAAACATGGGTTGAGAATCTCGGGATAGGTGGTGAGCAAGCAGATCTAATCCTTGCTGTCATAAAGTGAGCCGTGTGATGGGAAATAAGATTGAATAGGAGAAAGCCGGTTGGCTCTCTCAAACCCGTGTTCTCTCCTGAAAATGGATTGTCTCTTTCTGCCTTCTCTTTTTTCTCTGGAGGAGTCTGCGTTCTCTCTTGAACACATATTCCTCTCTTTACCCTCATGTCTTCCTAAGTGAAGTTCATTCGATCAAAGCTATGTCGCTTCACTGGAGAGAGTGAGTGAGAGAGTGAGCCATAAAATGTTAACTCATTGGATATCAGCCATTATTATTTTTTTAATACTATATATATATTTTATTAGTGAGACACCATGAGGTACAGTTGCAGACTTACACATTTTTGTGCTTGGGTTTTGATTATACAATGATCAAATACTTATCCCTCCACCGGTGCCCATTTCCCACCACCACGGATCCCAGTATCCCTCCCACCCCCCATCCCTCCATCCCACTCTGCCTCTGTGGCAGGGCATTCCCTTTTGTTTTCTCTCTCCTTTTGGGTGTTGTGGTCTGCAAAAGAGGCATTGAGGGGCAATCATGTTCAGTCCAGAGTCTACTTTCAACATGCATCTCCCCTCCTGGGAGGATCCTCCAAACACCCTTTATTTGGTGCTCCCTTCTCTATCTGAGCTGCCCTTTCCCCTAGAATGCCCGGCTGGCCTCTAGGCTATGGAGTAATCCTCCTGGTACTGGATATCGGCCATTATTAGCACCGCACTGTAGCACTGTCCTCCCGTGGTTCATCGATTTGCTCGAGCTGGCACCAGTAACGTTTCCATTGTGAGACTTGTTACTGTTTTTGGCGTATTGAATATGCCACAGGGAGCTTGCCAGGCTCTGCTGTGCGGGGTGGGATATGGCCATTATTAGCAGCAATAATACTGCTAATAAAGAAATTCAGTCGGTTTCATCTTCCGCAGAGCGAGTGGTTTTGTGGCCTGACGGGGGGGGGGGGGGGGGGGATTCTCAGACAAGAGCACAAAGTTTGATTATTGTGACTTCACACTCCATCACTGCCAGGGTCTCTGCTTTGGACTTCTTTTTCTCAGGCTTTTATTAGGTATTCTAGCCAGTAAGAAGAAGGGGCCTGTCAAGTCTCACCAGGGACGCTAAGACTGCAAAAACGAAGACAGTGCATTCTGGGAGAGTACCTCATTTGCCCCCTAAAAATTTACATCGGCCTAAGTTTCCCCCTGGCCCACGGGGGTACCTCTAATCAAAGTCAAGCCGGGGCTCCTTTCACGCCAGTCATCAGCCTTGTGGTATCAAACGCAGACTGAGTTATTTTTAGTGGAAAAGAGCCCCTGAGATCAAAGAGCTTAGCCTGGCACTTTTATGTGCAGACATAATGGTGCTCATACCAGGTCATCGAGACTATCTTAATGATTCCTTCTGGGCATCACTGCCCGAGCCAATGCGGATTTCTGCAGCTCGTTCCTCAAAGGTTGCGATGAGAGGGGCTTTTGTATTCTTCGGTACCAAGTCCACAGGGCAGTGGCAGGAAAAGCCCGCTGAGCCCTTCGGTGCCATTGATCGATCAGGGCGAGATTGTAGCATCTGTGGACAGGGAGGCTGGGTGAGGGCAGGCTCCGGACATTTGGGTGATTATGCAAAGTGGCAGTTCGGATGCACCAGCTCCACAAATAACAGGGCTTTTAGGAGGAAGCACTCTGTTTCACGCTGACGGCTGTCTGCCTGCATCCCAGGCATGCTGGCCAGATGGGTATTTATAGCTCGCGTGTTATCCTGGCAAGGGACTTGCAGGTTCTAGGAGGAGCCGTCCCAGCTGATGCCAGGCGGGAGACAGACCAGCTCTGTGTGACCTTGGAAAAGTCACGGGCCTGTCGCAGGTGTCTCCTGGAGGCTGGAAAGGGCTGAGGAGCCGTGGCTCTCAGGACTGTAGCTTTGTCTGATATGAGGTCACGTGTGAGGGCTGCGGGCCCAGTTTCTAGGGAAGGGAGATTTCCTGTACTAGAGTGTTTTGTTTTATTTTGGTTTGGGACCACAGCTAGCAGGACTGAGGTTCTACTTCTGTTCAGTTCTGGGGGAGGCCCACTCCAGCCCCGTTTGGTAGATCAGAGACCATGTGGTGCTAGAGGTTGACCTGGGTCTCCTGTGTGCCAAGCCTGGGCTGTGGTCCTCTAAATGACCCCACACACACACCCCCACCCCAGTCCTAGTAATGAGAAAATGCTATGTAAACTCCGTGCTTTGCCAGCTGAGCAGATGTTAGTGATTGATTATATGAACCTTTTGTTGTTGTTGTTCTTTTTGGGTCACACTCAGGGGTCACTCCTGACTCTGCACTCAGGAATTACTCCTGGCAGTGCTCAGGGGACCATATGGGATGCTGGGGATTGAACCAGGGTCAGCCACATGCAAGGCAAACGCTCTGCCCGCTGTGCTATTAGTACTCCAGCCCCATTATACGCACCTTTTTTTTTTTTTTTTTTGCTTTTGGCTTACACCGGGCAATGCACAGGGGTTACTCCTGGCTCTGCACTCAGGAATTACTTACTTCTGGGGTTGACACTGGAAGGAAATGAACAGTACTAATGAAGTGTGTCCAGACCAGAAGGTGACACTTTTTTTATCTTCTGCTTTTTGGGTTACACCCAGCGATGCTCAGAGGTTACTCCTGGCTCTGCACTCAGGAATTACTCCTGGCGGTACTCGGGGGACCATATGGGATGCTGGGAATTGAACCCAGGAACCTGCCTGCTGTGGTGGGTAGATTCAGAGGTTTGCTCCAGACCCGGAGCCTCAGGCTTCAAGTCCTTGTGACTTAGGTAGCTTCAAGCCGGTTCCTCCTTCCGTGCCTCTGTTTCCTTCTGGGGGAAGTCGACCTTTCCGGTGGAACGTGCCACACAGGTTTGAAGTGCGGGTTGAGACCAGGTTCCTGGCACGTGGAGTAATGCCATGTTCTCCCCACCACACCTCCCAAGTCAGTAGCCTTGCGCTTCTGTTGTTGATGTGTAAAGAATGAATAAAAGTTGCGTTTCCTTTTTCAATTAAACTTTTTTTTTTGGCTAGTTTCTGTTTAAAATGCATCCAGTATGGATCAACCCTTCTGCCCATGAATTGTGCCAGCCAGTTGTGAAGTTCTGGTGCTGACATCCCTACCGTGCATCTCCCCAACTCACTTCTGTACCTATCCACTGTGTTCCTGGCAGTACTCAGGGCCTCTTCTTGTCCCGGGGTGACCCCAGCTTGGTGAGGAGCAATGTCCTGTCCCACCCCCCTTTCTACTCCCACAGCACCAGGGTGTGGCCCAAAAACAACAGATTAAGGGACAAAGCAAGAGAAACATTTGCAATTAGATAACTAAATACCATTCTTGATTTGGCAACCACCAAGAACTACAGCAGATTGATAAGAAAAATAGCCAGATAGTCCAACAAAGAAATGTGTAGCAAATTTGAAAAGAAAAATCATAATATGGACAGAATTTCAGGGTAAAACACTTAAACAAGTAAGTGTTCAAGCATTTAAAAAAAGGGGGCTGGAGCGATAGCACAGCGGGTAGGGCGTTTGCCTTGCAGGCGGCCGACCCGGGTTCGATTCTCAGCATCCCGTATGGTCCCCTGAGCACCGCTAGGAGTAACTCCTGAATGCAGAGCCAGGAGTAACCCCTGTGCATCGCCAGGTGTGACCCAAAAAGCAAAAAAAAAAAAAGAGGGGGGCTGGAGCGATAGCACAGTGGGTAGAGTGTTTGGCTTGCACGCAGCCGATCCGGGTTCAATTCTCAGCATCCCATATGGTCCCCTGAGCACTACCAGGAGTAACTACTGAATGCAGAGCCAGGAGTAACCCCTGTGCATCGCCGGGTATGAAAAAAAGCAAAAAAAAAAAAAAAGAAACCTAAACCTGTCACTCTTTTATGTAATATCCTAGAAAAGAACTAATGGAACAGACATTTAAGTCCTTTGGACTCATTTATTCACTACATTGATTGTGCTTCTGCTTGCTGTCCGGGAATGCGTGGTGGGAGCTGGGATTCTGGGAGG